AAATAAACCAAGAAATGAAACAAAAAAGGAAGGGAGTAAGGAATAATATACAGTCAGGTAAAGATAAAGCAATTGCATAAGATTTTGCCAACCTCTTTACGAGTCCAGCCACGGAAGGCATTGTTAAGGGCCTTAGCACCGTGGACCAGGTAAGTGGCAGGATGTCTGCGGTTTTCTCTCAAACCTGTGAGACAACATAACACAGAGTTAATAATATCACAGTGACAAACAGTAAATACAGGTCAATCAAGTAGTTTACATAAAGCCATAACATGAATATTATGAAATCCATTGAACTCCCTCACCTCTAAAGGTATCAAGAAGGTGCTTTCCAACATACCAGCACACAGTCTCAAAGTTGGGGAATTTGAACAAGTCTGCTGTGCTTAATCTCTTCTCTATTTCATATGCCCTAAAAATGACAACACCGCACAAGAAAAGTCAGATATTAATGGTTATGATTACCTCTTTAGAGATGTGACTGGAAATCAATGGCATTAGCCGATTTTATCAAATAACTCTAAGAACTATAAGCCCTGGGGACCACATGTGAGGAACTACAGTAATTCAGGGACTAAAATGTCTGTTTAAGACATTTAAGTTTCCATCATATCTGAAGTGTCATGAAAATACAATAAGATTACATGAACTTGGTACAGAAACAGTGCAGAGGAAACTAACCTCAGCTGCATGTCAATGTTGAGACTATGCAAGAAGTTTCCTCCAAAGGCCAGGCAGTCCACTGGAGTCAGCACAGCATGGATCCACCCTAGAAGACAAGCATACAAACAAAAGTGTAAACATTACTAAGATTCAGAGTTGTTTGACTAACACAACGTTTCTACAACCAATGTTCCTGTAGCTAACAAAACAATTACGGCTTTACCTGTTGGTATGAATAAGGTGTTTCCTTGTTTGACAGAGCACTTGTAACACATATCAACCTGGTCTCCAAAGAACATCTCATTCTGGTTAGATGAGGAACTCCACCGCTCAAAAAGTGCCAAGTTGGCTGGGGTGGGGGAAATTAAGTAGAAGAGTTTCTCGCCCTAAACAGACAGAGAGAGACAAGCTCCTAAAATAATATACACACATTTATTTTTAAAAAGGAAAAAAATGTTTTGCGGTCAGTGTAACTTAAATTTCCCAAACATGACTGAAATTCTTCTTCCTCTCACCCTCAGGACATGATACCATACTGAGGTGCCTCCAAAGTCAATATGGAAGTCTGTGTAGCTGTCCTTCACTCCCATTAGGCAGTACTTCTGCACATTGGGGCGTTCAAACACAGACTCTTCAGGCCAGAGGTTTTCCACCCATGACAGTTTCCTCACAATCTTTGGAGTCTCCACCAAGTTTGAGAGCCTAAAACAAGTCCAACGCTTGTCATTAGTCTCCAAAACATCACATCCGCAACTACACAACTTCACTTCAAAGTTTGTTTTTTCTTTTCTTAGTTCAACAGAATTTGATAGAGAAGTAACATTAAACTCAAATAACAACACTGCAGCATAATGACAAACTGAACAGTCAGTAAAGTGAATGTGTACCTGGTCTCAGAGAACTCCAGGCTGATGACATTGAGCACTTTCTCTCTGTTGGGGCTGTTGTAGTATTCAACAAAGTCCCCCAAACGCATCTTCAGGTCACACTGGCGAGACACATCAATCACATCTATCTCTTTGTCTGGACCTGCAATTAGAACAAATTGAACAAGTTAGAGAAACGTGTAGATGTCTTCATTACCCTGACCAACACAACACAGGAAGCTATTTTAATTTCTCATGAAACACATTAGCATAAAAATTTTCAAGAACAAAAAATATCTATGTATTTAAATTTAGTAATAAATGTGTCAAAACTTTACCGATGTAGTGCTCTACATCGCTAACACTGAATGACGATGGAGGAAGAGTCATGCCTAGGCCATCTCTCCTCAGCACCATGACCGGAACACTGAATGAATGCTCCTCCAGAAACTCGACAGTCAGCTGCGCGCCAGACGGCTTTAGTAAGACTTCATCCGCACTGTCACAGAAACACAAACAGATGTGCACAAGTTTTGATTGTGTCGCAGAGAGAAAATATTCAAAACAGAATGCTTTACAATTGTTATAGTACAGCACAGGCTCTCAAACCAACCCAAGAGCAGAACATCTATACTAGATCAACATAAGTACAATATAATGCAGTCACATTGCAATAACAATGCAATAAAAAGTACCTAATGTTCACACCTCACGTTTTAGTGCTAAAACAATGTGATGTACACTACAACATGCACATCATTTAACGGATATCATGGTTTTATCTTTAAACTTGTGAATAACAAACTTTTGTTGTGGTAGGATGTTGGGAGAGCCTTACTTTGGGAAGGTGCGGCTCCGTAGCTCCCTAACAAATTGTGGGCTGCCCGTCTTAACAGGCCGACTTGGGTCTCTTGCTCCAGCACCACCATCTGTCTGCTTGTTGCCGCCACGGCGTTTGCGCACTGAGAGTAAGAAGAGACAGAGAAAAAAAAAGATTATTATGTATAAGTAAGTAAATAAACAAGATCATAACAATTTAAGAAAGGTATACTTGAGGAAAGGAAACTTACTGACAGATGGCCCATGGGTGACCTGACAGTTGGGGCAGTGATACAGGTCAATCTCAGCTGCTTTGTCCTCCTCAACCCCAACACAGCTACACAGAAAACATTCTCATATCAGACAAAGAATGTGCAGAATGGATAGCTGAATGAACTGTGATAGGTCAGATGCAGAGTCCACCCGCATGAATTATGCAACTACGATACAAACCTATCTCAAAGTACTTACATCAAATTTTAATTTCATTGCACACAGACAACAACTTGATCAATACAGTGTTAAATCTGAAAATGACTTACCTTCCATGAAACCAGTCTTGACAAATGTCACACTCGATCATGAAGCGTGTCACATCATATGGCAAGCGACACAAGCAGTACACTGGTACTGATGCCATACTGACTGTGTGTGTGTGTGTGTGTGAGAGAGGGGGGACTAGCTTTCAAACGTTACTAATGTTAAGATGCAAAATCTATTGTTTCCGGACGGCAGGGACTATTTAACAAACTAAATACTTTTATGTAATAAGGGTCGTTAATGTTTCTGTTGAACTGAACTGTGTCACTTCAGATTCCAATTCACTTGGAAACCTGTTGAAATATAGGAGAAAGAAAAAACGTGTAAATACTTTGTAACACAATGTAACTGTTACTCCTGCAACCTGAGATGCAAGCTCATTCAACTAACGTTAACTGGATAAAACTAGTCATTTTGGTAGCACAGCATTAATATTAAGAGTAACGTTATGAAAGTATTTAATATATTATTCAAATGCATAATTGGAGAAGCAGTAGTTACCATATATCGCTCCTAGAAGTATTTTGCTTCTACTAACTAGCTAACGTTAGTTGTTAACAGTAGCCAACTAGCAGGTCCTAACGTTAGCTCACTGTTTGTAAACACGCTATGCTCCGTCAATGTTGTATTGCCCTCAAAGCACTAACGTCTTTAGCAATTGAGCTAACGTTAGCCATGTTAGCCACGAATGTAGCTAAAGTAAGCAGCGACTAAGATGTTCACTTTAACTTACAAGAGAAATAAAAATGGAAATGGTGCAGTTATTGTATGTTTTTATTTAAAAGAAAAGCTATATGCAACTGTAACGGCTGATTGATTTCAGCCAAACAAAGAAACGTCGTTTGCTAGCTAAACTGATATTTAGCGCTAGCAACTCACCGACATCTCGCTGCGGCAGGCCAAGCATTCATAAACCGTTGTAATCCCTAGGCAAGCTCGGGGTTAGCTGCGGCCTTATTATGCAACGTAACTTATTAACAATTTGCTTTACCACATTTCCTTTTATCAACTCCGTAATGGCCAAATATAGAGGACAGATGCAGTGTGAATCCACTGGATCACCAAAATAAAACCCGAAGCGACCTAGACGACCACAATAACTAGGAATAACGGCGTATTTAACTACATCAACGCCATTTCAAAGGTAGTAGCGTCAGACCGTTGTTGCTGCCGTTGAAAGAACAATAAAGTTGCAGACAGTCAAATGTTGAGTTGCATTCAGGAAGGAACACGTTGCGGAACGTTCATGCGTCAAAAAGTTGCAGAAATAATAGATCCCATAGATTTATAGCAGCCTGCAAACTTGGTTTATTTGTATGCATTAATGAAAAAAAACGCGAGTGCATTAGAATGTACAAATCATCCAGAGACGTGTAAATCGATTAATTGCATATTATATTAACTTTTATTTTCCTCAAGCATCATCTTTTCGTCACTATGAAAGCTTTTAAAGGTATAAATCAATTTTTATTTTTTAATGTAGGCTATTTGTTTACCTCATACTCAGTCAGGTTTATTCCTCCTGTTTTTGCATGTGGTAGCCTAATTATTTTACTTTGATTACATTTGCCTTAAATACATGCAGGATTGTAGGTATCCCATAGTTTTTAGATTAAAAAAATATAGTTTGCAATAATTTTGTATCAATACAATTTCATCAACTTATTTTAATAATCATATTACTATCGTTTAGGCTCTGTGCTAATGGAATGCAGACTTTGTCAATTGATCCTGGGTTTTACTGCATTTGTTAGACACATTCTTTGTTAGTTTGATTTCTGGGCAATAATGTCATAACTTACCTTAAACAACAACAATCTTCACTGTGATGGATCCCTATCTCAAGGTTCAAATATTTGCAATTTGACTTTTACTTTGTACTGCACAAAGGTGTTTCCTGGAAGGAAGAAACATTTATTTCAAATGAAGAAGGTATGCTATGTTTAGAAAATGCCTGTCAGCAGTGTAAAGTTTAGGCCACTTTGCCTTTGCACTGGTCTTGCGATGACTTCTGATTTGCCACCTTAAACCTCCACATTAAGTCTTTGTGGTTTGCAGTACACGGGTTGCCATGGTAAGTTATGGCATGTAAAAATCCAGACAGTGTCATAATTTGATGTTTAACATCATTTATTTTGATTAGTTACAAAACATAAATAAAATCAACAGTTGAATTAGTTACAATTTACAGAGGCTAAATCACCAGCAACTTACTTTACTATTTGAGGTTTCTCTGCCCAAATGTCCTTTTCTAATTGGTTCTCATTAATGCCATTTTGGGACTCCCCTGATTTTTGTTGCATTAATTTTTAATTGTATTAAATCTGACTTGCAGTCCAACGGGAAGGCTTATGTCATTCTGTTATTTATCTTCCAGGTTGTCATGGTTCAAAACTTATTGACATCTTATGTCAATAAGATGTCAAAAACTCTCAGACGTATATCAAGGCAGGGGAGTCCCATATAAACAGGGATGAAAACCAGTGTTTTCTAGTTTTAAATAACCTCTGATTTATAATGATGAGGACACAATTTTACAATTTGTACAACCCCATTTCAAAATACAAAAATAATCTTTATCTTTTAGATAACATTTTGGTAACACTTCAAGGACAAAGCCAGCTCCACATCATGAACAATGATCATTAAGCTGTAGCTTGCAGTCAACATGTTAGTATCAGACACAACAGCACAGAATCTCACATTCACTAATTAAGAACTACATCTCTGTGACAATGTGTTGTCCTGAAAAGCAACAAATACAGAAAATTGTTGTCATATTCTAGATTATGCAATTTCAGTTTCTGAATAAACCATACCCTTTAGCACAAACTCCTCTTCCTTAACCATTCATGTTTTAAATGTCTATGACTCACATTTAGCAGTCCTTAACAACCGGTACAATCTCTTGTTTTCAGTGGCACACGATCTCTATCAATAAAACAACAGAAATACTTTGACTACAGGCTACTTCTTATGTCAAAATGTGTATTAATGAATCGATGGTCAAATGTGTGTATGGCTAAGTGCACTGATAACCCAATAAAATGTACGGTAATATATCCGCTGCTGATATATTACTCAGTGTATCTCTGCATCTACAAATAAGTGAGTTTAGAACATTTTTTGACTTGAGTCAGTTCAGCTTCTGACAGATGCATTCACACTGACAGCCTATGGTCAAAGACTAAATAGTTCACAATTGAAATTAGGAATTTGTCCAGCTCCAAAGTCGACAAATAGGCAAGTGAGGATCTCACAACGGTGTTGAACATCAAACTTACAACCGGTATCTGGTCTAACCTTTCACTTGTTTTGTTTCTTGAGGAAACAAGCCCAAAGCACAGGCAAAGTAAACATTTTCAGTTGGGTACAGTGACATTTGAGAGGCCGCTTTGAATGAAAGAAACAGGGATGTAATTTTTAATGCAATATACCATGGGACTATCACAAAGCTTTTTCACACAGAAAAAATATACACTCACACACCCACAAAAAAATGCAGTAATTTTAAAAGGCAATATGGGAATAACCCACATGGTCTCCCCAGTCTATAATAACTTGGCAGTTTTTTTCTTTTTCGGCTTACTCCTCAGCATGACACTGTGATATCCTTTGATATGCGGAGCTCAAACTGAAAGTGAAAATGTCAAATGTGAAAGCATATCATACCGACAGCAAATTTACTCATGACTGATAAATTATCTCAGTAGGCTACAAATAGTAAATGAGAGATTCGTGAATATACAGCGAGTGCAAGTAGTTTGCACTCAGGCAAGTCAAGTTAGTCATAAGGTCATGCAATCTTGGGCTGAGTATACCCAATTATCCACAGAACATAAATGGCATATTTCCATTTGCCATCATAATGTGAATTCATCTGAATTTATATCCTATCACCATGGTAATTCAGATTGTTTCTATGTTACAACTGCTAAACATAAAATAATACAAATGAAGCACATGCTGTACCGTGCACAATACTGCAACGGTGTGTTTGGTTGTATTGTGGTAACGATGGTAGCCAAATAATTTTCCCGTGCTCTATTGTGTAACATGCCGTTTAATTATTTTTTCATTGCCCATTTGAAATGCCTTGTGCTGTAGGCCTAGTTTTAAAATATCATATAACAATCATGAAAAGATCCTATCACGATGCGTCTTGAGTTCGTCAGTGTGCTTCTATAAAAATATTTTATCCCTTACAGACAAATCCATACAGTACATGCTGATCAATTTAGATGACCATTACTAATTGCACTTTTAAAATTGATAGTCCTTTCACTGTAAGCATTGACAAATTAAACAAAAAATGTCAACACACTGTCAAATATTTTGTTTTCCTTGTCTCTGCTTAGGGAGAGTTCAGGTCCAACTGAGTTGGTTTGAAAACAAAAACATGAACGTTAATTTGTGTAAAAGGACATGAGGGATATGTACTCGGATAATCCATAAACACTCACCCACACTCATAAACACACACACTCACACATTTAAGAATTTATACATCTCAACACCCAAACATACTATGATTCATAAACCCCAGCTGCTGTGTTCCATATTACCCTCTGTTTGTACATACCATAATCAATCATCTCTCACATTCACTCCCCATCTCATCCAGAAGTACACTGGGATCCATATATTCATTGCAGTCACAACTCTCATATGCATACACAAAACTAACACTCCAAATGGAACTGCTTTACGTCCTGATTTACATAGTATTTCCATCTCTTGCACCTTCATATTGACCTCACACTTCGCTGTGGTTTCATTTCTGTCCCAGAGGAAGAGTAGAGTTGGGGGGTGTTGGGTGAATTTTGGCACTGGAAGGTATAGCAGCAGTAGAGCAAGTGGAGGAAGAGGTGGAAGCGGATGAGGAACACGAGCAAAATGTCCCCACAGTAGCAGCAGTGCTATCTGTGGGCGCTGTGGTGCAACTGCTGGGCAGCAGAGACACGGCCGTGGACACCGGAGATGTGGGCATCTGGGAAGGCAGCAGTGGTTGGCTTTGGGGTGGTGACTGGGGCAGCTGGGGGATGGGTTGTGTCTGTGGTAGTGACTGACACTGTACGGGAGTTTGCATCCGGGGCTGCGGGATCTGCTGGCGGAGCGGGGACTGCTGATAACTCATCTGCTGGAGGGGGAGAGACTGATGGAGGTGTAAACTTGGCTGCATCTGTTGCACTTGAGCCATGTGTGTTTGTGGTTGTGGTCCCGGAGAGTGCAGGGTGGACAGGCTCCCTCCACCTGTGTAATGGGAAGGGGCTGCCACAGGCAAGCTAGCAGGGGCCGCGGATGCCTGGGGGTTTATTGGCGCCACTGGAAACCAACCTGGTGGAGCCACCTGTATGGAATATAGTAATGAGTACTAAGGGAGTATTACACCACAAAAATAATGCTTTGGTACATTTGGCTCTTTTTTTAAGTCATCAATAATATACAGAATATTTCTGCCTTTTCTGCCCAGAACTATTCTTTTATTTTATTTAATCATATATTATGATTTTATGACAATGGACACCCTTTATGAGAACGAGCCAGTGATTTGTTTGGCAATACAAAAACACGACCATGTCCATAGCATTATGATAAAACCTCAACAATCTGTCTGACCAAATATTAAATGTTATTTTTGTATGGTATTAAAAATTAATGCATATTATAGTGTGCAGCCCTACTTCAGTAGGCTGGCTCCAGCCTCCCAACTCCTGCACCTGCTGAATCTGCTTGATTTGATTCAGTGATGGTTTGGGCAGGGAAGGACCCACTGTCTCCTTTGTCCAATTATCAACAAGTTTGTGCAGTTCATCTGTGAATGTGCTTTTTCTTGGAGGACTGTGATCTGTGGAAAAATGAGGGGGACGCATCATCATCACCACTGATTGTCACTACATTATGTGTTGTTTTGATATATCAATGACAAACCGTACCTCTTTTAGGGCGGTGGTCTGGGTTGCAGTATTGGGGCAGTCTACTCTGTTCACCACCTGAGAAACTACTTGCCTGCTGAATCCCTAGATGAGAGATACAAGAAACATTTATGCAGAGAGCAAGCCACAAGTGGGGAAAAAAAGAAAGTGAGCGAGAAAGCATTACCAGAGTGTGTGACTCCGTTGTTATCCATGTGAGAGTGAGGCCGGGGCCTGAGCTTGATTTTGGCTGGCCTGGGCCTGCGGGGAGAGAGGACAGGAGGTGCCGTGGGAAGAGGAGGGGTTCTGGACAGGGAGGCAGGCAGACTCTGTCTTTGGTCTTTGAGGGAACGAAGCTGTCTGTACAGTTCCTGCAGCTCTCTGTTCTGCTGGGCCTGAAGGGATACCACCTCTTTGATGTGCCTATAGAGGTAGAGACACCAACAGAGAGGAGAAAGTGGTGAGAATTCTGAGATTCAGTCAAATTATGAGCTGAAAAAAAGAGAAAAACAATGAAAAAAAGTACGAAAGGGTGAAAAAATGTTATGTAAGCAAGAAACAACAATTAGCGGAGACATGAACTAGAAAATATAGTACACTGAGAGACAAACATCTTGTCAATAACGGCGTTAAATATTTCCCCTCCCTGACTTACTTCTCTCTAAGCTTGTGCAGTTCCTTTCTCAAGTCTTCATCCTCCAGCTCACTCTCATCATCATCATCGCTGCTCCCCAGGGGTGAATGGCTGTGCCCATGACCTCGAGGCAGGTGAGCCATTGCTGGGGTTCTCCTACTTTCTTCTTTCTCTCCCTCCTTTGCCCGAGATCTCCTCCTCTCCCTCTCCAAATCAGGAGACACCGGAGAGCTGTCAGTCTGCCTGTCCTGTTTCTTAGTCTCAGCCTGGGTTACAGAGAACCGTCCCACTTTCCTGTGAGTGCTACTATGGCCTGATGGCGCATCCTTCGGGGGAGAGGACTGTGGCACTGGAGTCACCTGATGGCATAAGATGTGGGACACATTAGCTGCTTGTCCACATTGCCCTGGAAGTTCAGACTAATGAGTGGCAAAGATAAAATCAGTGCTACTGCTCCTACCTGAAATCGTCCTCTGCGTGACTGAGGTGGATTTAGAGGTGGCGCCTCCTTCTCCTCTCTAAGTGCCTGGCTGCTGGAACGTCCATCTGATAAAGAGATAGGGATGAAAAACAAAATAGGGAAGACACGGAGACACGGGTATAAAGGGTACATAAACGACAACGTAGACACACAAAAGCAACAGACACGAGAAAATGTACATGACAGAAAGACAAGATGCACACAGATAGACATGGGGCACGAACACAAAGTCACAGTGTTAAAAATCACCCATCCATATCACACATCATCAGTTTTGTGACTTGCATGGCTTGCATGCAATGAAATGAAATGTGTAAACATATGTGGAGTTTATTTTTCTAAATTGTAAACAACAAACTGAAGTTTTTGTGGACATACAAATACATGTTTAAGAGAAACATGTTATGGGTGTGTGGGAAGGGGTGGTAAATGCTTGTTTCATTAAAAACAAAAATTATAGCAAGTCATTAAATAATAATAATAATAATAATAAAAAACATATTGTGGAAATGACAGTTGAATGTTTGTAACAGTGTACCCCTACCCACCCACACATCCACTCTCTCATTCTCACTGACTAACCATATTCCCACTCATATACCAGACAACAAAGCCCAATATCAAATTTGAGATCTGGGCTCAAATCCACAGTGATATTGTTCAGTGTGTTTGATATTTGGGATAACTACATTAGCAAAGTGAGCACATGGATAATCACTGCATAATTTACGACCAACATTTACATATTAAGCCTGATCTGATTTAAGTGTTACTTACAGATAACAATCCATTATTAGTCACTTGTGTAGAACATAACATACGTGCTCATGCATATGCACTAGCGGCTGCTACACATATTACACATATGAACACAAACACATGCAAGATGGCCGGAATAATTTCACAGCGTGATAAAGCTTATGCATATGGAAAGCCTACCCATGTATAGAACCTGGCAGTAACCTGTAAGCCCTGGGTAATGTGCACAATATATAATAATTAATTATAATAACTATGACTTTCATCATAATCTGAATATAATATAATAGGTAATGCAATGCATCTGAAAAAGTAATTTTTATAAATGCGTCTACTACAACTACAGCATATAGCCTAATGGAGCAAAGCTATACTGTCCGATTTGACACAGAAAGCATTCACATATTCTGAACGACAACTGATTACAAATTATCAGTTTAGCATCTATCTTATCTGTGTTGTGACGTGAGTTGCATGGTGCTGTCTACACTGAGCCAGCAGGTGGGGGTGAGAAGGTGAGATGGTTGCTGTTGGCACTGCTTGCAGACTTGGGGGCATAAAAAGGGGGGGGGGGGGGTCATATGAAGGGATGTGTCCTGGGCGCAGGCACAGCTGGGCTTTACTCCAGAGCTCATCTGCACTGGGATGGGCATCAGATTTCTGATGCCAACCTCTTCCTACACTGTGCCAATCTTCCACCCTCCTCTACTCTCCACTGTTCTCGTCCCTGGGTGAGTAACCCATGCAAAAAGAAAGATTGCCAAGAAAATTAAATTAAGCAAAAAATAAATTCAGGGGTGAAAAAAATAAACAAACAATAATGTATGTAGTGATGTCAACACTGACATTACATCGAGACTACTGTCACATTACAATATACAAAAACAGGATTATTTACCTGTAAACATTAACATCCTTTAACGTTAACAGTTATTCACTTCTGTTGGTTAATAAAGTTATTTTACTATGTTAAAACTAGTTCTAGATATTAGATTTAGGTCCATGCCCCAACATCCCATTCTCTCTCTCTCGCTCTCTCTTTCGCTCCCTAAGAGGACGCTACCTTGCTGGACTCTGGGCTTCTTGAACAAGCTGGCGGAGTGGCGCAGTTTGCACGCCCAGTTTTTGAATTTGCGAGTCCAGGATTTCTTGCTAACAGGATTTCTGATACTAGGACATGTCAGGTTTAGGCCAAAATATCCACCTCCTGCATTGTGCTTCTGCTGTCCATGTCGGAGGGGGATCGGGTGCTGATTGGGGGGCCACGATGCGTCTCCAGTGGTACTGGTGTCAGAGTGTGGGGGTACAGCCTAGAACAGTTAAGACAATTAAGAGTGGCTGCATGGAGTTCAAAAAGGAGAGACAATATTTAAAAATTTATAATAATAACAGCCATCTGAAAATAACTGCAGTGAAGTCACATTTACACAGCTATAAACTGAAATATTAACAGTAAGAGAATGTAAATTCAGTACAGTGAAAAAGAAAATTGCTAGAGAATTTACTCAAAATCTGATCTGTGGTATTGACTCACAAGAATGGTTGGTTCTCCTGGTACAGGAGGGCGCTGGAGCCCAGCAGAGTCATCCTGACTGAGAGGCAGAAGAGAGATAGGCGGGGTGGACGAGGCAGAGGTGGAGGGGAGAGATGGGCCAGGCTGTTGCTCCACAGGGCGCACCTCCGCAAAGTTGGGCACTTCTGATGAAGGTTCCTCTCTTCCCCTTTCCCTCTCCGGGTCAGGGGAGGTGGAGGAGGAACGGGAGGTGGTGGAGGAAGTAGTGGAGGATGAGGAGTGAGGGGAAGTATCTGAGGAGGAGGCAGGTGGGGGGAAAGACAGGTGGTGAAGCGACTGTGGCTCAGATGACTCATCTCCACCCGCTGATGTGGAGGCAGCTGACGTAGGGCCCAAGGCAGCTCCCCCAGCCAGCGCCGTCCCGCTGCTGTACTCCTGATACAACAAGTTCCTAAGCTTTTCATCCAGGGTCTTTATGCGGTTGTCTACAAATTCAATTTTAGGGGGGCCTTCACTGTCTGACTCAGCCACGGAGGAGGGCTGGGCAGGAGATGGGGTCATTGTGAGGGATAGAGCGGGTAAGGGGGCGTCAGTGGTGCCCAGGTGGAGGGGAGGCAGAGAAGAGTCAGAGGAAGGGGGATACGGGGCAGAGCAGCTGCATGGGTCCTCTGAGAAGCTCGCCTCTCCTGCGGACACCTCGGACTCAGACATCTGTAAAGAGGACTGCTTCTGCAGTGGAAACTGCTGCTGTTTCTGTGGTGTGTCCATTGCTTTCACCACCTCTTCTTGCTGCTCCATCTGTTGCAGCTGTATATGTTGTTGTGTCAGCTCAGCAGGTATTTGGGTTTGTTGTGGAATCTGCTGTTGCGGTACAGGGCTAACATTTAGCTGTGCCTGTTGTTGAAGAAACTGTTGACTAATTGACAGGGGCAGCATTTGGCTTTGATCTGGCTTTAAAGCCATAGCATCCATGAACAGCTGCTGCTGCTGCTGCTGCTGCTGCTGCTGTTGCTGTTGTTGCTGCTGCTGCTGCTGCTGCTGCTGCTGCTGTAGCTGCTGTTGTACCATTTGCTGTTGCTGTAAGTGTATTGTCTGTTGTAGGTTTAACTGTTTCTGCTGCTGGTGATCAATGTGGGCTTGCTGTAGGGGCACTACTGCAACTTGGGGTGCCATAACCTGTTGTGGCAACTGCTGTATCTGAGGCTGTTGCAGAAACTGTGGGGTATACTGTGATGTTTGCTGCTGAAGAAGGGGTTGTTGGGTTTGCTGTAGGGGCAACGGTGGCAGAAACTGCTGCAGAGGCACAGACTGTTGTAACAACTCGGTATGACCAGGCCGAGGCAGCACCTGCATCTCAGTCAGCTGTTGTTGAAGTGGTATTTGTTTCTGCATTAATTGCTGGTGTTGTAACTGCTGCAGAGACTGTTGCAGGACTCGTTCCTGCTGCAGCTGAATTTGTTCTTGGTACACTTGATGTTGTGAAAGCTGTTGTTGCTGTGATGTTGCCTGCTGTATCTGTTGTGCCTGTTGTTCAAGCTGCATTGCCTGCAGTTGCTGTTGAACTGCTGGTACCTGCTGCTGTAATGCAGGCTGTGGCGGTGGCTGTAGCTGTGGCTGTGGCTGTGGATGTTTTGGGGATGGTGTGGCCACCTGGGTGAGTGTCTGCTGCTGCTCCATCCCAAGTTGGCTTACAGCAGAAGAGGTCACTGCAGTAGCAGGAGGAGGGGAATGAAAAGAGGTTGAAGAACGGTCCGCTGCAGGCACAAGTGACCTTGGAGCAGTTATCACTGTATCCACTATACTTTGACCTACAGTGGAGGAACCACTGCTTCCAGGAGAAGTGAGGATATCAGGCAGAATGGTGGTGGGTTTTGGAGACGCAACAGTAGGAGCAGTGGAAATGGTGGGGAGGTTAGCAGTAGCAGATACTGCTGTGGATGAGGGAGCAGTGGGAATTTGATCAACAGAAGCTGAGGTGAGGCTTGGCAGTTCTAGACTCCCTGAAGCAGTAACAGGGACAGAGGCTTCAGGAGTGGAGGGTGGTGCGGAGATGCTCTCAGAGGCAGCTGTAAGAGGAGCAGGGCAGCGGTGGCTGAGGGGGGCACAGAGGTTAGGACTGAGACAGTGGAGGCTGGAGGGGAGGTGGCAGACAAGGTGGTGCAGGGGGGAGAGGCCATTCCAGTCAAGGACTCCAAACTCTGGGATCCTTCACTTTCTACAGCCGCAGAGAGGAGCAAATGGTTAGTTTCTGTTATGTTGCCAGCTCAGTCATGTTAATGAGTCAGAGCATTAAAAGAAAGCTCACCATTCTCTGTTTTAGAAGAATGAGGTATCCTTATTTCTGCAGTGGGTGGTGGTGTGGCTGCTCCCTGGCTGGATAGAGAGTCTCTATGGCGGATGGTCTGGTTGATAAAGAAACGCCAGCGTCCCACTGGGGAGGACTGGGGCACTGAGTCCACTGAAAATCATATGGATATTTTACTGGTTACGACAAGTTAAATTACAGGACATACAGCATTTTCTCAGTATGTATTGCCACTTTTTTTGTGAATAAGAAACAATATATTCATAACTCACTTGAAGAGCTAGTGGGAGTGCTCACATGCAACTGGTCAGTTGATCCAGTCTAATAAAGAAAAGACTCAAATTCATCATTATTTGATAAAAAACTGAAAAATAAGAGAGAATGTGATAGACGGAAATATGCAAATCAACATACCTGTGAATGTGTTTGAAGAATTTCGTGAGCTTTCTTAACAATGGCTCTAAGCTGGTCAACAAATGCCTCTTTCTCTACATCAAGGACAAAGTCCTCCTCCACCTACAGACAAAATGCAACCAAACAACAATTATTTAGACAGAATGATTCATTTTTAGCAAGCAATGCAGACTATGGTAATACACAAGCAGTCTACCATGTAATCTGCTATGTCCTCTGGTGCATCCCCTTCGATGTCAAATTTAAATGTCACCATCTTGTTGCTGTGGGTCTCCAACTGACATTCCACCATATTGTCCCCACTGCCAGACACCTAGGGAGGAAAAGACAACTTAACATTAGATATTTGTCCTGTTCAAAATCTATTGGTATACATGGATTTAGCAATACACTGTAGGTGGTTATTTGTTGCTGTTTTTTCACCTGGAGCATGCTCAGTTGAAACTGATGTGAAACTTTCTCAGGCCTCTGACAGGAAGCTCGTCTTTGAGTCTTTAATTTCTCCAGCTTCCCATTGACCAACAGCTGAAGAGTTTCTTCTCCGTTAGCTGGAACAGACCTGTGGGCGGTAAGGTATTAGGGCTGTTACACATCATCCTGTAAATGACAGGGGCCAGAGCAAGACACTGACCACATACTGTAACAGTCTGGGAGTAGAGAAGAAACTGATGTAAAAGCCAAACATGTATATGGAATATGTGTACTTGTTTACAACATGTTGTGCATTTGAGAATCTTATAACACAACAAACATAATTCTAAATGCATTATACAGATATATTGAAAAAGATTGTTAACCACTATGTATGTATGGGCAATACAGACAAACAATGTGCCTCGTATGGACAGATTTGTGGCAAATACACATGATTTAAGAGAATTTGTGGCATTCACCAATTTATTTACACCTTAAATTTTCTCTTGGGCATGAACGAAATTCACGAGTGGTCCAGACCTGTCATGTCCGTCATGTACAGATAGTCTGCTTTTCTCCACAGGGCAAACAACACTCCTTTGAACTGAAATCCTAATGCTTTACTCTGAATGAATTTGGAGTTTAAATGTTATGCCAAAACTAACTAATGTACACTATGTAACATTGACAAACTTAATTCAAAATGAGTATTTTGTTCACCATATCCATATCATAATGACTCTCAATTTTAGGGCGTCCATTAGGCAAATGACAGAATCTCACAAAACAGGCATCAGCCTGAAACGAGCCATTTCAAGTTTGTCCAATTAAGCGAGTTTGGTGAATCAGACACTCATACGAGCAAGCCTCACAGAAAATAATAAAACAGGTCTAAGATAAGAATACACTGTTCATGCATGAGGCTCAGTGTGTTTTGAAGTGTAATTAGTTTGTTGCCTTGTTCAGCTGTGTTCAATTCAAGGCTTTCAGAATCTCCCAGTATCAGTACTCATATAGCTTTAGTCTTGATGAACGGACATACTGCATGACTTCCATGCACCGACGGAAAACGTCAGACAGTAATGACATGAGACATACCCTGACGAAGTATGACGCTCTGTACTTGACAGGTACGGACCATCCTGTGGAGTAACATGAATACAGACACAAAGGAGTACGCAGGTACACAGAAAAAAACCACCAAAAAACCATAAGCAACATCACATGCATGTAAATCTATAATGGTATACTGGATATTACATTAATGATGAATTTAATGCTCAATGAACATACTCATGTTTTAAGAATTAACATCAAAAAGGCAGTCCAAAGATTTTTAAATAACAGCTGTATTCTCAATAATTCAGCAATAAGTCAGCAAAATAAAATAATGTCTTAATTAATATAGCAAACTTTCATTCTTTCTGTACCTGAGCAATGCCCAGAAGGGAAAGGTCACAGTCTTGCAGCGAGGTTTGGGGCAGTTTGGGGGCATTAGAATCAAGCAATTGTAGAGCAGTGACAGGCGGAGGGGAGGTAGGTATAAAGTCGGCCTGTCCTGGTAAGGTAATCTGGGCCACTGGTGTAGGCAGCTCTGGCGCAGGGGCAGCAGCAGGATGGTGGGATGGCAGGGATGGGAGAGATGGTAGAGATGTTGGGAGACATGAGGTATGAGAGGGGCTGAGGGGCATTTGTTGTGCAGGACAGACAGCTTGGGGCAGAATAGACTGTTCAGCAACAGGTGAGTCAGTGTGTGTCTGAGTGAGAGAATGAGCCTGTATCTGTGCATGTGTTTGGGAGTGTGATTGGGCCTGAATGCTGGTCTGTGTGTGTGTGTGAGCTGGCAGCATTTGCTTGGCTTGATGCTGTGGAGAGGGAGGTGCGCCTGTCACTAGATGACTATAGAGGGGCAGAGTTGTGTTCTGAGACTGAGGCTCAGCCACGTTACTCGGGACTATTTGTGCAGCAGGGTTGTTCACCAGATGTGAAGCAGGTGGACACTGTGGTAGCGGCTGACTATCGTCAAGGGGTATCAAAGCCTGCTTTAGAGGATGTGGTTGCTGGATGGGAGCTGGGATGGGCTGCGCCTGTGATTGGGTCTGTGGAGGAGGCGGAGCTAGTGGTTGCTGTGCTTGAGACAGCTGCTGTAGCTGTTGCTGGTATTGTCCAGTAGACTGAGGTATTATAGGCTGGGAGATGGGCTGAATGACTGAAGGGTCAGCAGTGCTTCCTAAGGGCTGCTGCTGGGCCTGAACAACTGGATGTAGTGTTGTTTGCCCTGGAACACAGGCTTGCCCATCCTGCTGCACAGGATGAGGAGCGGCGACAAAGTTTGCAGGATCAGCTACAGAACTGCGAATATCTGTTGTAGTTCCAACACTTCCAGCTGAGCCAGGAGATATAATCATCTGCTGAAACTGCAGTACTGAGTCTTGCTGCTGCTGCTGCTGCTGCTGCTGTGTAATATGAGTTATATCCTGCTGTACTGATGGCATGGCTTGGTGGGCAGGCTGAGGGACATATGGAGGGCCAGCAGCAGCATGAGCATGCACCTGACTAGGTAGCTGGCCTTGAGTTTGTTGCTGGAGCTGGGGCTGAATGAGCCCTGGCATTTGAGCATTTTGCTGAACAAGAGTCTCACGTTGGATCTGACTGGGAATTGAGGTAATTGCAGCTGGAGGCTGGACAGTAGCTTGGCTTTGTTGTCCCATCATCTGAATGTCTACAGTTGGGCCCTGGCCCTGGTGCAGAGGCTGAGTCTGAATTAATGGCTGAGCAGTTACATGGCTCTGTGTGGGAGTGGCAGGTCCTGGATAACTACCCTGTAAAGGAATTTGCTGCGCCTGGATGATGTGAGTCTGTCCCTGGATCATTGCCGCTGGAGGAGTTACTTGGGCCTCGAGCTGGGCCTTAGCTGCTTGGACTGTGGACTGGGCTATTAATTTGACTGGAATCTGGCCCTGATTCTCACTTTGTCCTTGCTGGGTAAGGACCTGAACTGGGACAACAGCAGACGTCTTGGCAGGGATCTGCGAAGTCTGAATCGCCATGGGGACCTGGGCCTGTGAGACAATTTGAGTTTGGTGCTGAATCACCTCAGTGCCGACTGGAGCTCCAACTGGGATATGAGGTTCCATTACAGAGGTGTGATGCTGCGACTGGGCAACAAACGCTTGCTGCTGCTGGATCAATGCTGCTTGCTGTTGTGTGAGAGTGGTATGAGGTGTAAACTGAGCGGTGTTTAGTTGCGGGATACACGCGTGCTGTATATCAGTTATCTGCTGCTGAATTTGCTGCTCACTGTTACTTTGTGGAATAGGGACAGCCTGTTGTTGCTCAATTTTCTGAAGTTGAATGATGGCTGCTTGTTGCTGCTGCCCTTGAATCTGTTGTTGTATCAGAGCCTGTTGCTGTAATCTCTCCGCTTGTTGTTGCTGTAACAGGACTTGCTGCTGACGCTGCTGTTCTAACTGTTGTTGAAACAGCGCTTGCTGCTGCTGCTCTATCTGCTGCTTGAGTTGCACTTGTTGCTGCTCTTGTTGCAGCTGCTGTAGCTGAGCTTTCTGTTGTAACTGCTGCTGTTGTAAAATAGCCTGCTGATGCAGATGCTGTTGTATTAGTGCTTGCTGTTGTTGTTGTTCAATTTGTAGGAGCAATGCCTGCTGCTGCAATTGTTGTTCCTTCTGCTGTTGAGTCGGCTGGGGTTGCTGCTGCAATACAATTTGTTGCTGCTGTTGTCCACTTGGCTGTTGCTTCTCTGGTTCTTTTTGTATTCCAGATTGGTGTTGTCCAATTTGCTGATATAACTGGGTCTGCTGCTGTTGCTGTAACGGAGGGTGTGACTGTTGCTGCTCTAACTGATGTAAAAGTCCTTGTTGTGGTTGCTGTTGTTGTACAAGAGCTTGCTGTTGCTGCTGCTGCTCTTGCTGCTGAATAAGAGCTTGCTGCTGTTGTTGATCCAACAATTGCTTGTGTATAAGTGCTTGCTGCTGCTCCAGTTGATGATATTGTAGTTGGGCCTGTTGTTGCTGTTGTTGAAGCAACGCTTTTTGTTGCTGCTGATCAAGCTGCTGCTGGACATATGTCTGATGTCGCTCAAGCAGTAAAGCTTTCTGTTGTTGCTGTTGTAACATAGTTTGCTGTTGCTGAAGCTGTTGTTGCAGTTGTTGTGGTTGTATCATGGTCTGCTCACGAGGATCTCCTATTGGTTGCTGTTTGTAACTCTGAGGGTGCTCCCCTGGCTGTGGTAATGACATAGCTCGCTGCTCCATACCTGTTTGTGTAGGTAATACTTGCTGCACAGGAGTTGTGTGGACAGGCGGAACAGGCTGCTGCTGTCCATAGATCTGCTGCTGAGGATCATGCTGATGTTTCTGGACAGCTGTAGCTGAAAGGCTCTGTGGATGCTGTTCCGTTGGTGGCTGAGTGGCACTAGCTTGTTGTTGTTCGAGCAGAGTGGCCTGGGCCTCAATTTGCTGTTGCGGCTGCTGCTGAAGAGTGGAGGTCTGTGGATCCATGCCTATCTGTTGTTGTTGGACAATAGTCTGCTGAGGGATCATGACAGGCTGTGTTTGCTGGGGTGCTGCCTGGGGAATGATGTCAGTGCACTGCATGGGAGTGGCAGGGGGTTGGGTCTGCTGAACGAGGGGCACAATGGTTACCGATAGTCCAGCCGGATCACTGACTGACATAGATGTAGAGAGAACATTAACGGGGGCTTGTTGCGAAACAGGGGGCATGTATGACTGTGAGGGGGCTATTGACCCATGGGGAGTGGTGGTTTGAACTGTATCTGATGAGAATGTTTGTGACTACTCAGTGATAATGGCAGTGTGATGATGGGTGTTGAAAGGAGAGGGAAAAGAAAGTAGTAGAAAAATTAGGCAAGAATAAGCTTTGGCACAGAGCATCAGTTATCAACACATTTAATTTTATATAACAGGGTTTCCCACAGGGTTTTATTGCAGAGGTGGGCTGCTTTAACCAAAATACACACTGCATAGCTAAAATTAGAAATAGCACATAAACTTTAATAAAGAAAACCATTAATCCACAGGTAAAAAGAGGCCCTATTTTACATGTTATACAAGGCTTTACAGTATAATTACTGAGAGAGGCTATTAGGCCATTATCGTACAGCGTCTGTAATAAGTGATTTCCTGGGGAAAACCCTGTACAGAGGACAGTCAGATGGTCAATCTCAGAGGATTATGGGGATGATGGCAAATAGTTATTTGAGGGAAAAGAACACAAATTGTGACAGGGTAGTGGGATTATAGTTTTACTTCCATAAACAATAATGTTAAATGCTGTAGCCCTGGGGTAAATTTGGCTTTCATTTTAATACAAATTAGTATCATCACCCATTTCACCTGAAAATATTGTTGAAGGACACTTGGTGATACCTGTGGAACCATGGTACTGGGCTGAAGAAATGTCTGACCGACAGGTCCCCCTCCACTTTGGCCTATGGACATGCCGGACATACTAACACTCTGGCCAATAGGCACATTTGGAACACTTCCACTCTCACCAATGGGGAGCATTTGAGGATGAGCCAATGTGCCAGAGCTCTGTAAGTGCAAGAAAACAGTTAATGAACAACGAGACTTATCAGTACAATCGTTAGAAAACAACGATGAAGGAGGTAAAAACATGTAGATGTACCGATGCTGTAGGTGGGAGAGTAGTCTGAGGGTGGGTGTATGATTCCCCTTGCTGAGAGTACGCCTGGCTCTGTCCACTTGCATAAGATTCACAGCTGGCAGACCCAATGCTCTCACCTTCTAAGTGAAAAGACAACAACAAAAAAAGTAATATAAAACGTAAACTAACATTTAGAAACGTCCACCATGTCAGTAATGCAGCCGTGACGTTTTATTAACTCATAGCGTACCTTTCTAATAAACTACTGGCGTATGAAATAAATCATGAAGGTGCAGACTCTACCTGGCAGACCAAGGGTTGCTCCACTGAAAATATGTTGCTGCCTGACATGCTGGTCCACCTCAGGCAGCTCCTCAGACTCCTGCCCTCCTCCTGCTCCCCCCCTCCAGTCTGTCCAGCTGCCCCTGGCCCCAGTGAGGACAGGCAGGATGGATGAGGAAAGGTGTGGGCGGTAAGAGTAGAGTCTCTTCTTTCCTCAAAGCCCTGCTGGTGCTGGAGGAGCTGCTGCTGTCGACGCTCCCGTGACTTTTTGATCAGATTAACTCGGTCCCGGATGGATTTCCCCACCACCTTTGCATCGCTCTCGTGGAAGAATCCGGACTTCACCTAAGAGAGAGAGAGAGAGAGAAAGAGAGAAAGAGAGTAATTAATGACTAGAGGCAGGCTGAGAGAATCTAGGTCAGAAGGAGGTACCTTGAAATAACTAATAAAGGTAGTGAAGGATTTTCCTGACCTGACCTTTCTTTAAGTTTTAAAGCATCAAAACCATTTCCCAGACTACCCAATCCCACACTGGACACTCATGAAACCCTGTTTCTACAAGTCAGGTATGAATTGTCATCTTACCATCTCTAGAGCTACTTCCTCAGCGCTATCGTTCTCCAGGTCATAGCTGAACTCGATGGCCTCATTGTCTTTGTGCTTCCCCTTCAGCTTCTTGGGCTCCTCAACCCAAATCCGGAGAGCCAGACAGTCCTGGGTGCCTGTGTCCTCCTCTGCCAGCTCCACCCGGACCCCTGTGTCCTCCCCGAAGAATGCGTGGTTGAGGAGGTCTCGGATAGAGAGTCTGTCAAGGGAAAGACAAAAAAGGAGCAGAGATGGTGAAACAGGCACCAGTATGTTAATTGTCCTACATGACACAGTGCACTATGTCACGTCAGGAAAGTAAAAACATGCTTACCTCTGGCTCTTGTTCTGACGAATGCAGCCTTCGATGATCTCTTTGATCTCTGGGTCATTCACTTTATCAAAGCTGGCTGGCTTTATACCCTGCAGGAAAAAAAAGGCAAATTAATCACAATAACAGGAAACAATGGAATTTGGTTTTGGGATATTGTGTATGATCCCTGAAGACATTTTCACCATAGAGTCAGATAGGTGCCTTAAGAATTAGGTGTACACATGTCATCACCAAAAACGTGCAGAGTTTGTATGAGAGTAATGCAGTCAAAGAGACTCACGCTTTATTGAACCTCTGGCCCAAGTTATCAGACAGGAAAGAGCTTTGGAGGGTATAACTATAGGAGGAGTAGAATATAAAATCTGTTTGTACGCAGGTAACGTATTGGTAAGTAACACTCCAAAACCTAGGCTCAGGGGTACCTTTGTTTATGGATATTTTAAAGATATTTTTATGGCACTACCACGCATAGGGACCATCATCTGTCTGCTCAGTTAAGATTGCTAGTGCTCTGGTTTAACTCAACTTATGAAGCCAAGTGGAAGGATATTTCCAAGGAATTTTCCAATCACAGAATGAGTGTGTTTATCTATCAAGCTATGGCTGGAGGTAGTTAAACTGTTTCAGTTTCATAGAGAGATGAAAGTACTATGTTGGCCAGCTTATGATCCACACTAAATACCCGCATTGTATGATCACAGATGTAGGCAATGGACCCATGCATCCTCTACAGAATTGTATCAAACGGGGAACTTAACTTTCAGAATCTATGCCAGTCATTTTAACTGATTAGACAGGATTTTATTAGGTACTTACAGGTCCGCCATTTGTTTTTTCTAAAGGAGATTAAAGGTCCCAATCCTGAAAAGCCCTCAAAAATGACTCCGATTTTTATAGATGCTTATAAAGGCGAAAGTAACAAAGGGATTATAGGCAAATTATTCAAGGGTATCACCTCGGTGAACAACATTATATAAGGTGTGTGTTGGGGAAAAGAAATAAGGATGGAAAACACCTGTGGAGGTGTGGCTACATATCTGGGAAACTCAGTGTACCTTCACCACTTCATTAATCTAGAAGGATATTTACTGGAAAAAATTGATTCAGTTCTTTATAACCCCCATGCAGAAATCCAAATTAACTGGGACCCAGTACAAGTGGACCATGCCTGAATATATATTTTCCACATATTCAGCTTTTCTGGAAGAAAATAGGACACTTAATAAAGACACTGGCCTTCAGTATTGATGTGTAATTTTTCTCTTTGTATCTTGGAATTATTCCTGACGGTTTGGGTAAAGGTTTTACCCTGCTGAAGATTGTAAAGGTTGCAAGTAAAGAAGCTGTTAACAAATTCTGACTTAAGAGAGACCCCCCACCACCACCACTATGGACCTGTTTATGGGCACTGAACTACCTGCACTCTGTCTCTCTCTTAGCTTTCTAGCCCTCACATTTTTTCTCTCTACTTCTCTCTGTTAAATTAAAAATGCTATTTAAAAAAAGAGAGAGACTCACACTTGTGACTTTGCGATAGATCTGAGCAGCATTTTGGCACTCAGAGTAGGGGTATTCTGAAGTGGCCATCTCCAGCATGCACATCCCAAAGGCGTAGACATCCACAGATTCATCGTAGTGCTCCTCATACATCTCTGGAGCCATGAACTCCGGGGTTCCTGTTAAGACCAGATGGTGGTTCGCAGTCAAAAATAAGTAGAACAGCTAAAATACTACTTCACCAATATCACCGTTTACAATCTGTATTTACTGTCACATAACAATGTCTATGGAGAACTAATGCCTCAAAGTCAAAAGAATAATTAAAAGTACAACACAGAGCCAACATCTCATCAGTGGTCTCTGTTTAAATTAAGTGCTGCCCACATGGATTTTAGAGTGACTCTGTCAATAATAATGTATACCTCTAGGCAGCTACAGCCCTCTGTAAAAATCTGAGCAGCGCTGAATGCAAAGGAAAGTACATTTATAGGTCCTGACTCAGTTTGCTGATGTAGCTACTATATGTCTGGCATTGTTCTCAAAAGTAGTTGGTCTACTAGTGTAGCCTACCTATGACACTTTTGGCAAAGGATGTCCGCATAAGAGTGGCCAGTCCCAGGTCACCTATCTTGACTGAGCCTGTGGGGCCCGTTATGAAGATGTTGTCACACTTGAGGTCCCGGTGGACTATTGGAGGAGTCCTGGTGTGAAGGAAGTGAAGGCCCTTCAGGATTTGCCTACACCAGCTCCTCAGGACTTTGGGCTTCATCACCTTAAAGCGTTTCAGATAACTGTGCAGCGAGAACAAAAGCAGGATTTTGTAGTCAAACCCAGAAAAGTACTGTAATCAACCACTGATAGACAGCTAGATGATCACAATGAGAGACAAAACAATATTATAATACCTTTAAATTTCAATGCATCGTGAGAATGGGACATGCATCTTTTAACTGAATATATTGTATGAATATACATATTGTAAACAATTAATTTATATTGATTAAATACATTATCTTCCCCATAAAGAGAACTGAAAACAGTGTTTAGCTGTATCAAAGTTTGTTATGTACAGTATAACTTATACTAAATATCTCTGAAGCTTTGAGCCATGGTATCTTTTTGTTGTTTTGGGGGTGCGGCACTGCCAAACATTTACTGAATAATGGAGCCATGTGTTGATATTTGCTAACTATGAAGGCATGTTTACCACTATTGGTTTGCACTGTTGGTAAAATGAACACTGCTACAGCCAGAGAAACTACATTAGATTTTCTACTAAATGTAAATGTAAAGATGATATATACTGTGTCTTAGCTCTCTTATTTTTAGTTATTTTAAGCGCCACATTACTGTATAACTGTTTGCACTACAGAGCTGCCGACTGTGGCAGTCACTCTAGTGGGTGCCATGACAACAGAAAGGTATTCTGTGATTTGAGGATTTTATGTCAATAAGAAACTATGGCTAAAAGATTCTTTTTAATGCAAATTAAAAAAACAACAAATCTAAACGACAAAATTATAGTGAGCTGTCAAGAATAATTCAAATAACAATTGAGTAGAATAATAGAAACGTTTTTGCTGACGTTTTGAGCGTTCCTGAAGTCATGAGTTCAGTGACCAGTACGATGCATTTCTTGCCGCGGAGCACAGACTCCCATGAATCATAGAATCGGACAATGTTGGGGTGCTGAAGCCCCTTCAGCATCTCGGCCTCCTCCTTGAAGCGTTGCTGCTCTGCCTTGGTCAGTTTGCGGTCCTGAGGTGAGAGAGGTACACATCAAATTATATGGCGTGAATGCGAACATTTGCTTCCCTAGAGCTTTAGAGAGCGCTTCCTATGTATTATACATTACGAGGCTACCTGACACTACACGCCCATGACTGTGCACTTAAACCTGCTTCCACTAGATGGTACTAGCAATACAGAGTTGCAGCAGTGCTCAGACAACACCCAAGCCCTAGCTCCATAAAACACATTTATACTGAATCTGCCACACATCCCCAGTATGGCGGACAGACTAGACGCGGCAGAAATCCAATTCACTGAGATGAGCGGCATCCCACAGGAACAGAGACGGCCGTTGACTACATTGAGCAATCCCTTTGTTAAATGCTAGTGCACAGGTTATTTGTAAGGCCTAAGACTCATTCATGTTATGCAGTTATAAAACCTATTATGTTCTGTATTATTTGTGTATTCATATGTATTCTTCTGTTTCTGTAAACCTTTCGTGCGCTCACCAATAACATCTGCTGTATTCAGACAAAAATGTACATATCTTTAAATTCCCTGAATATCGAGTCAATGGGAAATAGCGTTTATGAATATACATGTGATGTGATGGTGAATAGAATAAAATAATAAAAATATTATTATATCTAATATTTAAGAATCAAACACGATGATAACAGTCAAAGCATTTTACAGTGGAGGCGATCCTGACCCCCCCACTAAGTCTGTGTGTATTTTTAGACTTGTCACGAGCAACTGTTGATGTCTGCCCATGTCTTTCATGTGTACAAATAACGAAGAATTCCAGGTCTGTGGCCGTTTTTGAACTTGTGACCTGCCGATCGAGGGCATAATTTGATGATACTGAAAAGTCTGAACAGAAAACACACTTAAAAGAGCTCATTGCTGTGAGTTTGTGTTTATCAACAGGCAACCTTTAACCGTTTATGTAAAAGCAAAATATAAGAGAGAAAAAAAAACAGTGTGTCTGCAAGGGAGTTGGATGGCAGACACTGATGTGTCACTAACAGGCCTCACTATAAATAGAAGTCATCACTACACTGGCTTTCCACTGATCGATTTCATTGATGTTGAGCTTTTTGCTTTACACAAAACTCGATCAAGGCCGGCGATATACTGCAAATGTTTGCATGCAAATCGACAGATTTTCTCTGTCCCTATATTTATCTTCATGCTAATTTTATGTCCCTGCTTCTTTTGCCCTCTGGGTCTGTGTTTCATATTTCAGGTAGCTTTTGCTCTCTGTGTCTCTACTGATTCATTGTCCTTATCTGGAAATACTAGTGGAGGCAATCGCTCCACCCCTCAACTCTCAAGAGGAAAGTACCATCAACAAAACGGCTGCTCCTGGTTGAAACTATGGTGGCTAAGAATATGTTGCCCAGTCTAGGTCTACCTTCATGCTCTCATTCCTTTCACACCAACTGCCTCATGTTGCTATGTGCATGCATGCTTTTGCAAATGTGTGCGTGTACCTGACTATGTGCAGTGTCCAACCATGCTTTGGTCTCAGTCCTGCCTGTCTCTGCTGTACCTCTCCCTTTATATCTGCAGGCACCTTCACTCTGATGTGCCTTATCTTGTCATCGAGTATTGCCTCAGTCAGAGCATCACTCTGCCTCACTGTCTGGCACGGTGGGAGACAGAGTGCTTGCCTGCGTGTCCCTGTCTGCTGCCTCCTCAGCGTCTTTGGTGTATCTCACAGAGTGTTACATGAGACAGCCTTAGGAATGGCAAAGGTCATAAAGAGTTTAGTTAGTGAGATTGTGTCTAGACAGACTCCTTTGTAATACCCCCCTCACACACATTCCCATACACACCCACAGTCACACAAAGGCACAACACAAGCATCTCTAGAAAAAAAGGTGACGCGTGCTTTTTAAGTGTGTGACAGTCCTCTTTCAATTGCAAAGACTACTTAACACACCCAAATACAATTATAGCTGTTAGGAGGCCTCACTCACACTGACTATGTGATAAATGTAAGTGAATAGTACTCAATAAACGTTTGAAAATGATGGGAATAATGTGTATGCTACAGTACATTAGGCAAACTTTGGTACAACAGCAACTCACAAAAACAGATCTGACGAACAACATGGCTCACAGCCACCACAGGGGCAAGGGACACAAGGGACAGAACAGTCTCTTAACCATCAGATAAATTGGGAAATGAAGAAGCGCACAGAGAAACAAATAGAGAGAAAGGGAGGGAGAGAATATGCTGCTTGCATGCTCATGACGCAGCCGTGTTGTGACTAGCCGTGTCTTTCTTCCTCTGCATCAGCCTTTTAAGCATATACTATTATAGAAAGAATAATCACTATAACTCTCAAAAACTGTAAATACATGTATATGTGCGTGTAAATGCCCAAAGGCTGTTAATGAGTGTAGTAGTCTGTGTATGTGTCTTCTGGGTCAAGACACATATACAGACAAATACTGTTATTTTGTCCACACCTGTAAAGTCAGTTTGGTCATTTAATGTTGTTGTTACATAGCACCTTGATGGCAGAGGCCTAAGTACTAAACAGCGCCTAAGACTTCTGCACCATGAGATTCTTTTGGATAAGACATCTGGTGGGGCAGAAGGTCAAGCTGCAGGTTAAGTAGCCTCATAAAACAGGAAATGACTTATAAGGTACATTTAGTAGATGGTAAGAGGCTGGGGTCATGAACGCCAAAGCATGTGCGCTCTAAAACATCTATTTTGGCAAACACTACATGAGTATCACATATCATACAGACCAAATAAGATGAACTGGCTTTCCAGGTTACATTCTTGTCTGAAGGAGGAGTGTGCCTCAGCTAGCTTGAGATAAATAGGGCTGGTTTAAGGCACTATCAACAAATAGGGGAGCATTATTCTTGCTGTAGGTGGATATCTGTACATGTATGAGAACATTGCGTATGGCCCAGTGTTAGAGAAAGCATGTGAGTGTTTGAAAATCCGAGGTGGCGGATGGCTGGGATTAGATTACTGTAAGCTACAACAGCTCAACAGACTAACAAGATAGCCTGCTGTTAAAGGGCTGACCCACACAACGGATTAGAACCCCAGGCCAGTGGGCCAAGTTCACTAACCTTAATAGATGCCTTTAGCCAATGCAATGCACTAGCCATTTCATTTTAGGTGACCACTTGTTAGCGGGATGTCTTCTTAGCTCTATGTTTAACCCCTTGACTCTGACTGTCGCAAATTCACATCACACCTCTTCCTTTCAGACTGCAGCCGAGATAGCCTATGTATTCCCCAAATGCCTGTTTGTGCATATTCGATACGTACCTAGGAACCTTTTGCAAGCACTGGTTTCTCGTTTATGCATGTTGTCGCTAATTTGCATCATACCTGCATCATCCCTGAATTTATATCTTTTCTATGTTCTGTAGAGAAAATTAACAATCTTCACTTAATTTAACAGCTTGAAAGCATATGAAAACACAAATTATTTTAAATTTTTTTTATTGTAAATAAATTCAGGCATCAGGGAGTTAAAGCTTCAGTACCTGTAATACGCAGAGGCAGAGGTGACAAAGATCCGATAAACCCCTCGTCAACAAAAGTGTAAATAATAATATAATAATCTTTATTTGTATAGCACTTTTCAAAAACAAGTTACAAAGTGCTTTAACAAGTGTAAAGACAATAATAATTACTAATAATTAATACAAATGTTTCCTTTCTGTCATGTTATATCTCCAAACACTCCTGTTGTTTGTATAGAAAGGTTTGCAAAGGTTTATTAATGGACACCAATGCTACAGTATCTTACAAATTAATCTTAAAATCTGACTCAGTGAGCTTCCCTTTTGTGACATTCCCTCTTTTGTCATATGACTTAATCACACACGTTATAATAATTTGATCCTAAATGCTTCAGATCTACTGAATTCTGATGAACCTATTCAGCTAATGCCAGTATTGTGTGGTAATGAAAAGGTGTCCGTTCATAACATTTTGGATCCGAGGGGCACTTGCCAACCTTCAGTGCCCTACTTTGAGCATTCGTCTGGTCATGTTGGTTGCATTGATTCCCTCCGGGTCTAGTCAGTTCAGCTGTGGTCCATTTGATTTCGACTCTACTAATTTTAGTCACCCATCAATAGTCTGTCTGTCTTTGCTTTACCTGGCCTAACCCAACTGGTTTTGCATAGTCAGAAACAACCAGGATAATCTCCAACTCCTCCCTTTAGATGTTGCTATTTGTTATACTGAGTCAAAGAATTCCTTTATAACACCTTTATACCAAAAAAACCCACCTTTTTTAAATATTGCTAAGTCACTATGAACATAATAATGTTCTCTAGAATATTTAATTAGAGCCTACATTGATTCTTCAAGAAAACAGCTGTTATTTCTAACATGAGGAAGGCAGCTAGCAGAGACTATAGACAATCTCTCAACCTTATATAGGTGAACAAGGGGTCTAGAATCTGTTTCACAGGGGCTGCACACTGAACTGCAATCTTATTATTACCCTTAATCATGTCAAAGTCCAAGTTCTCTAACGGCCTTAAGAGGGATGAGCCTTTTTCCTAAGAAACATGACAGTGTTTGTAGCAGGCAGTCTCCCAAGCTGCCATTCTTCTGCAGCCATAAATCCAAAAGGCTGTCTAACAATACATGCTAACAACCTTCAGCACTGCAGATCCCAAATGCTGCTCTAGTGTTTGTAGTCGTGTGAGCATGGCTGGGCTAAGCTGGACCAGTCTGGGATGACTGGGTTGAACCAGTCTGGTTTCTGCCGCCCGAGTTATGCTGTCTGTGCAGGGTTTTTGTTCCAGCCTTACAGGCACCCACTGTAATTAACTCCCCTGGATCACTCTGCATGCTCACTCACACAGACAAAAAAGTGATGGAGGGAGAGATTGGGGGGGGGGGGGGGGGGGGGGGGGTGAGGGAGGGTGACAGGCAGAAACGTACAGTGGCATATGTTGACACAGACGGACAGAGAGAAACAGCTCGGACGCCGAAATGTAATACATGTACAAGACACGTACAAACACATCCAAGGTGATGGATGGCAAGACGTAAGACTGATGCAATAGGAAGGCAGATATATAGCTCTGCCCTTTTAGGCATGGAATTCCCAGGGAAACCGAGAGGAAAGAAGGGAGATGGTGTCCGCACTGAGAACTTTAATTACACACTCTTTCAAGCTGCATTTGGACAGCTAATCCCCTGGCTTCCCTCTCATTGTGGACACAAGAGGAGAGGAGCTAGGTGCTCCCAGTCTCACAAATAGTGCACTGGCTAGTCATGGACAGGCTGTTTATCTTCCTATTCCATCCAGCACTGTCAAATTGGGAGCATTGCACACACGGTCCATGGTCTTCTGGCATCAGGACACATGGACAGAACTTCTTTTGTGCCTGTTTGATTACTGGGACCCGCATTTATAATTGGAAATGACTGTTGCTTCAATTTCAAAATTACAAGAGTGAGAGGAATTGAGTCAACTTAAACTAAAGTTGTTTGTCTTTTAACACATTTTAGACAAGAATATCTTTGATTATCATCCTTAAACGAGAAGCACCCACACTGTACTGTGTAAATGAAGTTTGCCTATTGTTGCATCTAACACCAGCAGGTAACAATAACGATTGCATCATTAATTATTATAACACAGCAAGCCGGTCATATCTAAATCATTATTACTCCGATTACTGTTGTCCATTCAAATGCCACTTTGTATTGAAACTGTGCATACGCTTTGGCTAGGTGGAGTAAATAGGGCAGATCATGTGACCTGAGTGACTAGAATGTTGCATTGAATGTGGCACTGGATCCATCTATAGATGTGTGACCAAGCCACTGTGTACTGTCTGTGTGTGTTTGTGTGTGTCTCTCCCTGCATGTGGTAACTTAGCGTTAGCGCCACGGCCGTTCTCTGGGAGGGATGCCATGGTAATCCCTCTGTTTGGCTCGTCATCTCCCCCTCTGTCTCTCTCTCTCTCTCTCCCACTCATCATCACCTCCTGTGTCTCTCTCTTGTCTTTTACACACAGCTCTTTTCCCTTCTCAAATCCGGCACTCTGTCAGAATCTCTGTTTTTCTCTGAAATGCTGTCTGCCTATCTGTTTATTTAAAAAATCTAATTAGACAGTAAAATATGCTTTAGAGTGTTTAGAGTGTTTCTAATTGTCTCAGTAATTTCTGATTGATGTAGCAGGTAATGTCATCATGCTTCATAAACAAATAACCACTGAGATTGATTTTGACCCGTGTGTTTATGGAGACAAAATTGGATATCAGAGATTCAATATGGGCTCCAATTTGCTCACAGTCCTGAGGCAAGGCAAAATACAACGCGGTGCCTTTGCTGGTGTCATGAAAGAATGCTCTCTGGGAGCAAAATACATTAATTAATTAATTAATTAATAACATTAATATTGAAGGTGAAACAGGCTACCTTTGCAAGCTGAGCAGATGTATTGAAAAACAGAACACATAAAGTTGCTTTGGCAGTATGATACACCATGCAGCAGAGCCCACCTGCTGATGTGAAGCTGACTCACTAAGTGTTGGGAGTAAAACCGGAAAAGGTGATGGGGGCGTGCCTGCCGCTCATTCGTCCAACAGACAGTGCCTGATCTCAACGATTAGTCAAGGCTCTTGTTTTGGAGTTAGCTCTGAACCAAACACATGACTGACTTTTCTCACACAAAGCCAGCAGTCAAATCAGATAGCTCACCATAACACTGCTCTCTATTGTGGGGCCAAGAGTCAGAGGGATGCATTTCTTCTCTCCTTCACAAGTCTGTCTCCCACCACATGTTGAATTCACACCATCTAAACAATGTTTCCCATTACTTCTTAGCATAATAAATCCAGTTGTCTACAATATTTACAGACTTTGACGGTGCTCTGATTATCAAATTTCATTATTTTACTCCCACAGCAATGTCAATGCATGACGAAGAGTTTCTTACAGTAATGTTTGCTGTTGTTACTCCTACATTTGCTACAGTGTTCCTATTTGCGCTGTGCTTACAAAATGCATCCCATTCAAAGCCTCTCTTTCACATGACTATTTCCATTTCATACCTCATAACATTACACAATAGGCAAGAGTAGGCTGTGACATGTAGTATGGACTCGGCTATACCCGGGCACCTGTTAAAACTAGACAAATTAGCAACACATTGTTGCCCATATATAGGGCCCTATGATTTCTGTGATACAGAAAACATGGATGTAGTAGCGGAATTTGATAATAATAAAAATAAATAAATAAATAAATATATATATATATATCAAAATGTGGATGCAATTAATAAAATTTGGAGTTTTCCATAGCATGATAAGAGTTGTTTTTCTCAGCACTTAACTGCTGTGTTTTGGTGTCATTTACGGGCACTGCTTCTGTCCCCTGCTGTCTGTGTCCGAGGGCAGCACAGAGACCTGCCCTCAGGCGCACACACACACTGTCACATGTATTTCATTCCGTATGGGCAGAGTCAAATATTCAGTTTAAATTAAATAATAAAAAAATCTATTTCTGGTTAAGCTTTGTAAACAATAAGGAGCGTTTCCCATATGAGAGTATTCCTCCATCAGACCTATTACCGTGTGTTTAGGCAGCATATGGAGGCTGTCTTGCAGAAGACCCGTGGGAAGAAATGGTCAGTTGTCAAGTAATAACCGATTTAATAGGGGACAATTCACAATACATCCATTGTATTATATAAAATAGCATTATAGTATTTTAATATCCTACTGTTGCACTACATATATTGTGAACTGTCCGCATAAATACATTTGAAGATTTTTATATGCATATTTGGCTATATCGAATTAATTAGTTGCATGTTTAATATTATCTTATTGAATTGTTGACACTTCATCCACTACATGATTACACACTGATGACATAATGTGCTTAAATGAAAACGGATTTCATACGTATACATCTAGTTCTCATTATAAAACTTGTGATACAAGTTGATTGCTTGATTAGTAAGTCTAAGTGCCTTTCAAAAGCAATTTCCATAAAGTAACAAGGCTTTCAGACCTTTCAAGATGATTCTTCTCAAGAGCTGTGAGGAGTCAATCGCCTCATTTAAAAGTCTACAACTAAAAAACAGTGTCATTAATGCAATCCCTAAAATGATGAATATTTCCCTTAAGTGTCATGAATGAATGAATGAATGAATATAATTTAGGCTAATGTAGAAAATGCAGTTCCTAATAGGATACCCTATCGCAACAAGAAGAAGTGCTGACAGCCCTGATTCTATTATTTATAACAGTCCTAGAAAAGGCAAAGCCTCCACTTTCACTTTGTGCTGTCACTTAACAGCAAACGATGCTCCTCTTTTTCACCCCGGTCTCGCAGTATGAATAGCAAACAGACAACGAGCTGAGATTTCCAGATTTCAGGAAGAAAGAGCTCCTGGGACACATCTAATTCTATTCACTTCAAAAGAGTAACAGTGGGCTTAAAGCTCTCTAGCTCACACTAATTGGAAATATAATTGATATAAAGTATTTCCAATTACCTCTCAAAGTTGTGAACACATTCTGGAAGTGCACTAATTATTTTGGGTTTATTTTATCTTTATAATTTATAATTATGGTCGGCATCATGGTGTGAAAAGAAAAGAGAACAGTTCATCTTACCTGAAGTTCACACCAAGCCACCTCCACCCAAGTCTCTGTGTCCAGGCCTTTATACACAGTCTTGAAGGCTCCTCTTCCTAATTCAATGTCAAATTTGAGGAACCTGCCTCCAGGAGAGGTGGCCACAGCCTTCATCTCTGCCTCCTCCTCCTGCTCATGGTCCCTCTCCTTCCCCCTCTGGGTGGGTGCGGAGGAAGGAGCATCCTTGCCAGGCTCCTGGCTGGAGCTGGGGCAGGATGGGTCATGGCCCTGGGTTGCACAGGATGAAGGAGCCCCTTGCTGCTGGGCACTGCCGATGAAGACTGAGTCTGAGGAGCGGAGCTCCAGGTGGGGGGCACTGTGGGGCGCCTCTGGGGGTAACTCCACCTCATCGTCCTCCTCACAAATCTCCACACTCTTCCTGAAGAAGCGCTTCTCCCTCCTCAGTTGTTTCTGGCCAGTGTCTACTGGTAAGGAGGGTGTGGAGAATGAAATTGGTCCGACTGGGTTCTCCTCACCCGCCTGGCTGGCTTCTGCTGCACCTCCTCCTCTTCGGATTCCTCCATCCTCTCCTCCTGTCGCTTTCCTCTCCTGAATCCGGGAGGAGGGGAAGTCCGAGGGGGTGCTGTGTGTCCTCTCCCTCTGTGGGTCAGCCCTGCCCTCCCGCTCTGTGTCCTCCTCCCTCTGTCCATCAGGTTTCTCTGAGGAGTCCTCGGTGCCTGTGGGCTCTCCTGGGTCAGTAGCCATGGGGAATGGCCTTTCCCACCCCTCCTCCTCCAAACCTTTGTTCCTCCGTCAGTCCCCGTCTCTCTCTCTTTCTGTGGTCACCCACTCACCCCTTCTAGTCTGTCGGGCTGCTCCTCAAGTACCTTTCCTCCGCTCTCTGCCTCTGTGTATCGTTTTAGTAGATGCTTTGTAATAGCACAGGAGGGTGAGGCCACAGCTTTAGAAAATAGTTTCTGTCCTAACTTTCCTCCTCACCATTTTCTTTAAAACCCACTTATGTGCAGTACTAATCAAAGTATACCACACTTCTCCAGCTCTTACAAACGCACACTAAACCAGAAGTTCTATCAAGACCGGTGGGGAAAGCTGCAGTGTTTTTCAGTTACGGGTGTGAATATCTTCAAGTAAACCCTGCAAGACAAAAACAAAATATAGCATTACTATTAAGACAGTCAGAGAGAGAATTATTGTCATGTTGTTGCCATATTAAACGCTCTCTTCTTAAAAAGAATACAAGAGGGATACTGTTCGTATTTGATAACATGCATTTGAATAGGAAAGTCAGAGGGTCCCCTATACTTTAGATGCTATACTTTAGCTCTTGTGAGGCTTGTAAGGCCAACCACTGCTCATTCTTGCAGAGAGGGACACTGTATTTCCCTTGAGAATGTAAAGGGTTGATTGCTCGTAAAACAGCTAATGCATTTTAGCAGTTAAGCTCACTAAGTAGCAAAATGTAAGAAAACCTAATGTGAGTAGATTTTGAAGATCTTCACAACTGGTGCAATGTTTCCAGTAATCAGCAGCCTGTTGCACCAGCTGTGTGTAAGTTCAAACGTAGCCCACTTATAGTGTAAATTATTACTAAGTTGTGATTTATGCATTACTAAAATAAAAGCAGTTGCACCGCAGAGATAAGTTAAAACATAACTTAAAGTAACAACTAAATAGTTACAGATGCCCAAGGGTCAGAGCAAATCATAAAATGTCACAGTCATACTCACTAATGGTCAAACAGCCGTTTATCTGCACCACAGCATCATTGTTCATTAACTGCGTGCCATTTTGCACCACAGTAATCCAGCAGAGACCAAACATATTGACATGATATTTCAATATCAATCTAGCTTACTAAGATATGCTACAATGCCTAGTGGCTCATGCCATTTTAATCGTTGATTGGCCACTTGCTTTAGCTACAACTTTAAGTCTAAACTAGTTAATTCATACCCCAAGTAATTGTGGTGCAACCAATTTTAGTAGCTGGTTTTGTTACAAACTAACTATTAGTTACTAAGCCTCTAGTGTCGACTTTACACCATAACTTAGGAGAGAACTTACACACAGCTAACTGGTAATTAATTGATGACAATGTTAATTCAAAGTCAGTTGTGAACTCTGGCAGCCCAACCCGTTTATGGCAAGAATATCTCAAAATCCATCTAGGAGGGCCTCCATTTAACCTGCTTAACCTGCTAAACAAACACTTTATCCTTTGTTATGGGCTCAAGACTGACATTTAAACCAAAGAGTGCTTAAAGAATATCCCGCTAGCCTGGTCAAGAATTACACATGGCTTCATCCATCATCAAGTGCACCTTTATCAGCGTCATGTGACTTAAGTTGTGCTCCATTAGTGAACAGAAAGCTGCAGTTAGGAGTATGCAATCCCAACTATTAAATATGGATGATGAACTATGGACCAGTTGAGTGTGAATAATTCATACACAGAGAGATTGTCGAACTACACTGGAGGGACTACCTCACATCTGCAACAACGGGCTCATAAATATACACAACTATGACTGTGATTATAATCAGCACAGACATCGGCCGACAGTTTTACTCCGTGCATACCCAGTCAACCATTTAGGCAGGGTGATAATAGACAGATTAATAGACAGGCCCTCGGTAATATTCTCTGCCAGCAGAAGGTGAAACTGAACACAGTAGGTTTCCTCTGACATGGCAATATCCTTGCAATGCTTTAACTCATTCACATGGGTTTGTGTGTATGTGTGCGCGTAAGTGTGTGTGTACGCTAGTGGGCGTCTTTCTGATGACATCTTTATCTTCACTTCTCCTCTACCACTCTCCATCTGTCCCTAGGTATTATGTCTCCTCCGCCTTCTGACAGCCAAGTGGCTGCATCAGAGTTGTTTCATTAAGACATTAGCCAGCCTGAAGCTACTCTGGAGCCAATATCTAAAAGACAGGGGTGGGATACCAATTATGGATGCAATAAAGCCCAAAGTCACCATTTATGATTAAGCAGCCAAATTTCCAGGAAGAGAGCATGCTAATGCATACCAACAACAAGAGCTGCACTGTGGCTTTCCTGGGAGCGTAATGGTGCAGCAAATGGAAAGTAAAAAGTACAGTCCGGGTCAGGGTATTAACTCACTTTGCATATTAGTTTACAACTCATCACGTATTACTTTACAGGTGAACACTCTTGTCTAGGGTTACAGCACTCTTAGGTATGAAGCAATCCACAAGGATGCACAGTCTATCTTGGCCGCTGAAATGTGTTCTCCACAGACAGGCGGGCCGCTCAGTCAAAGTCACAGCAGCTAAGTCTAGACTTTTTCTTCAATTTTAATGAGCACAGCCCACCGTGACCACTGGGGGCTCATCTAGTGGCTCATAGCAGCTATTATCTCTTTTATAAAGCAGCCATTTACACTCACATCAAGCCTGTTGTCTCTCCGGGCTCAAAGAAAAAGCAGTCTGACATGCAATGCTAGTAGCTGTCAGTCAAATTAAAAAAACACAATAGGTTGATATTACAGCAACTGCTAAGAGGCTCCTGAAGAACAAGAAGGAATTCCAGTTCGGCAACGTTCCCAAGACCCAGACGCACGCTCCAAGAGACTGAACTGAAATTAGCATCACGAAATTGACTTTCCATAGCACACTGAACACTTAATACTGTAATGCAACAAAACTAATTATGAAATCAATGGCACATATGAGTAGGGGCAATAAGGACACAACTGTGTATCACATCGTTAGACATGGCCTCAGTGAATCCTGTGTGATTTCAAATTATGAAAGTCATATAAATTGTACAGGTAATTTTCTGAAAAGTGACCGAATGGGAGCATCTGTTTTTGGCTAATGCAATAAACTAAATACCTGACAAATCTACGTACTTTATTATTACCATCCATTATTCAGATCCAGTAAATCCAATATTGCCACAAAGCAGCCCTTCTATTAGGCCCATGATGGCCTGATACAACCTGATAATAGCTACCTCAAAACCTCTACCAGTTGACAAATCTCTATTATGTATATTCTTGTATTGACCAACCATACTGCAACGCTGGGGCTGTAACTAATAATGTTTTTCATTATGATTATCAATCAATTAGTCAGATAATGTGGGTCATTACATGATTAAACTATTAAATAATCAATTATATATGCTGTTTACATTACAGCTACTCATTTCTATGAGTAGCTGCAGTAGAGTAGATGCACTATGGCTGTAACTAAAGGAAAACGATGTGAGATAGGGCAACCCAGAGGGGACATACTGTAGTGTACAGTGAATCTAAAAAAGGTAGAGGCTAACAGGATGTGGGGAACATAAAGGAGGCAAAAACAACAGGCGATAAAGAGAGGGAAGTTGCCCTTTAAACAGGAGCTTATTCGCCCATGTCCCCGGGGCAAGGAGTTCCCATGAAAGCCACATACCGGACAGAGTTATCACAGTACATCAAACACGCTCAGCCCCATCACTGTCTCTCACACCCGCCCAGTCTGCCTTTCAAACGCACACATAGACACACACACACACACACACACGCACACACAGATACTATAAGACACACACCAGCAGGCCAGAACAAACTTTGTGTTTCTCTCTCATTCTCTCATACTCTTTCTATGTTTTATACACAGACAAAACACACACACACATCAAAAGCAAACCCTCTCCCGCACCCAAATGTCCAAATGTCCCCCTTTCAATGAAAGAATGCCGAAAGGAATTTCCTGACACCAGCCAAATGACCAAGCAATTGCCCATGTGGGCAAACGCAGTGAAACCAAAGTTGAAGACAACAAAACCAACGTCGCAGCTAAAACGGTTGGCGTCTCCCTTTGGCAGCGAAGTGACTCCAGCATGTCGCATACGTCAAGTTCACATGTCAGAATCATTACTGGTTCATTTTTCTAGCCACGCTGGAGTACATGAGAACTTAACATCTGAGGTGGTGCACTCTGCCCGCCCTCCAGGCTTCTGTGAGGCTCCTGCGCAGGGAGAACACCTGCAGCTGCCTAATCATTTCTGAAATGTGCAGCGAAAATCATTGTGACATCGTCGCTCCGTGGCTGCCAAAGACGTGATTTCTATTCTATTCTCAAAGCCCGCTAGAGGCTGCGTTTGTTTTTTGAGCTAGAACTTTTTGTCATCTGTGCTCAAAGTTTTTGGAGGCAAGGAGGGGAAAAGCCCTGCATTACTTACACTCTCTATCGCACAGAGACAAACAAAAGTGCACACCGAGACGACTCGCATATCCTTCACAATCTATAACTTTAAACAAAAATACATTGCAAGCCTTACTCCCTTACTACATGGGGATGCACACATAAATCCCCGGGAACCAAACTGCCGGTGGAAAATAAGGCAAGCAGACAAAGGAAGAGTCAGGGGATCACTGTGTGTGTGTGTGTGTGTGTGTGTGTGAGAGAGAGAGAGAGAGAGTGTGTGTGTGTGCACAGACAGCGCCGTTTATTTGCAATTGAGGGGGACATGTAGATGAAAAGAGTGAATAAAAAGTGGTGAGGGGGACAGGAAGGGATTGTAGTTGGTGGGAGCAGGCGGACAGCAGAGTTTCAAACAGAGCGAGAGGGAAGGAGAGATGGAGCGGGGGTAGTAGAAGGGGTGGGAAAAATGTGTGTTTGAAAGAGAACAAGAGAGAGATAAAGCGAGGGGGGTGCCACAGACAAAAAGGGGACTGGGGGTGGGGGTGGTGGGGTTGCCTGATAAAATATGTGCCAATGTTTGTGTGAATGAAAGCAGTGACTATAGCTAAATTTTTGCCGGAACAAAAGCAGCTACAGTTGTGCGTGGAGAGGAGAGGAGAGGAGATGGAAGAGGAGAGGAGATGGAAGAGGAGGAATGCTTTTAGTGGCTTGAAAAGGTTGAAAACAGGAGGTGATTACATTAGCATAGGAATAGTTTCCGTTGGTATGTTCAGTATCACAGCGAGATGGTGCAGAGGGCCGAGGGAGAGCAGGGTGAAGGACTGCTTTGCTGTGAACCTGTCAGTATGCTCTTGCTGTCTAAAGGCCCAAACTAAAAAAAGTGGAGCTCAAACAATTTTTCCAACTGATCAATCGTCAGAAAATGAATCGTTGAGTATTTTGATAATCAATTAATGTTTCAGTCAGTTTTTTACAGCTTTACAGCTTCTCAATTGTAAGGATTTGCAACTTTTTTTGTATAATGTGACAGTTAACTGCATATCTTTTGGTTTTGGACCACTTGGTCAGACAAAACAAGTAATATGAAGATGTTATACTGGGCTTAATGAGATCCTGATAAACATTTCCCATTATTTCCTGACATTTTATACACAAAAATGATTAAATGATGATGAAACTAATAGTCAGCAGCAGCCCTGGTTTAAAGTCCAGATTTCTTAAATATCTAATTACTATCTTAATCTGCGAGCAAAGTATTTCCAGAGCTCACTCAGTCCACTTTGGGCAATTCAAGGACAGTCTGGGAATTAGACATAACTTTGACTAAAATTAAAAATGACTAATTATAGCTGAAACTGAAATTATAAGTTAGCACAGGTGCATCGTCAGGTGTAAAATTCTGTGTATTGTCAGCAAGCGTGCATGTGTTGCAGTCTTTTGACAAGGTTCTGCCAGATACAATTATTTGCATATTTTCCCTGTTGATTACTAGTCTGAGTGAGCTTTGTTATACCGGGCAGGGAGTCAGCAATGAGTGGAAAGGTTCAGTAGTAAACTTGGCTGGACACCAGGAACTGAGAGAAATATGAAACAAAATGTGTTGAATTTAGTTGATTGAGTAACGGAATACCCCTGAGTCGTGTCGATCAAATCCAAACCAATACCACCTGCCTTTAACAACAATTTTCCGATTCAGCATTAGTCCCACAGAGATTTAAAGAGGAGATGGAGGGAGACAGGGGCAAACAGGCTCAATGTTAAGCAGCAACTGTTCTGAAGATCACAGGTCTACATCTGAACTCTGCAGCCCAGCTGTTGACCACATGGGTAGGTAAAAACAAAGGCCGTGTTTGTTCACTGAGGCCGTGTCTAACACTCACAGACGTACCAGGATGCATCACTATAAGTGGCAGGTGTAAACCCTTCCAAGACCTGACTTTGTCTGCGCTGCTGTCACATTGAAAGACAGACAGCGGTCAGGTTAAACTGTGATAGTTTGGCACAAGTACAATTAATTACAATGTTCAAGACAAGCACTATGCGATGTACACACGTTGAGGGAAGAGGGAACACTACAAATTTGAACTCACGAGTCTATGTCTTAATGAACAGATCTTAACAGTCAACCATTTTCATCTGAATCCCTCCTTCTCCTCTCACTCAGCGATTGCACAAGTTGGTTGGGCACATGTTGCTTTCCTGTGCGTCTTCGGTCTTAGGCGGCATTTTGAAATCTGATTTAAAAAGATCAAATGCTGGCCACTAGAATCAAACACACAAGGATTGTTCTCTGCCCATTAGGGAAACTCAAGGCTGAAAACACAACAAGGACTTTTGTCCAATCCAGGTCAAGCATGGGAGAGTGCAGTGTAGGTAGCACACACACAGAGTACTGTTCACTGAGAGACAGACAGACAGAAAGACAGACTGACAGAGAGAATATGTGTTATCTAACCCCCCTCCCCTCTTTTGTTCTCTTTCATTCCCTTCAGCGAGCAGAACCATCCCATACCACAGGATTCCTCTAATCCAGGTGAGAGAAAGGCTTCTTAATCAGCCAATGATGAATCGGGATTACAAGTTACTGAAGTAGCTCATTTCAACAATTGAGCCCCTTTTACTCTTACAAATGGTCTCTGAACTTTTATGGATGATGGAGTATTCAGAGATCAGCAAAGTGTGGGTTTCAGTAGTTTAGCAGCTGCCAGCCTTTTTTAGGAGAGCAAGCATCCTCCCTAATGTACACCACTATCGCTCCCAGTAGGGTTAGATGCAATGTTTTGATACAAAAGTTGAGGCAGCAATGCTTGATATTACACATGGATGAGATACAAATGGGTGCAGCTTACACTGTGACTGATTTTTGGGATGATTTTAATTTTCTAACAGGCATTTTATGAATACTGCTTGGAGCAAAGGACCCGTGATGTGATTGGTCGTGTAGTATTCAACTGGCTCTGAGGCAAAATGCAATGTATGCGCGTTATTTATAGGCTATAGCATATATGCCACGGTGGTGCCTGGATGTGCAAGCACCATGAAGTACAGCCATTGGCTAGCTGGCAGCTCAGCTGACTTCAGAAACATGCAAACGGTGAAAGACGCAAAGCACCATCACGATACGGGACAAGAGCACGGGGAATGAGACGGCTGACACCGAAATAAATAAAAATCTCCTGGCCTATAGTGGCCTGAGCACAGGCCAATCATACAAATGATGGGCTAAACAACTGGTGTCTGAGGGCCTGACTGCCCGCAGCTCTCTACTTGACTTGAGTGTTTTTACACAGCATAATTTATTTCAGAATAATAAGCAGCCATAAGAGGGGATAAATACCTAATAGCAAACTCGCAGTGTTTGAACATACTGAACAAAATGACAAAAATGTCTGAGGACTGAGGAATCACGAATATTACTATTTGCATTGTTAAATGAAAATAACAACAAACCCCACTTACCCAAATATGACATCGAAGCTCGTCGGTCCAGCGATATATGCATTAAAAAAACGAGCTGCTCAGCCCAGATAGATCGCTAACTGACTGATAACTGAATTTCTGTTTTTATTCCTAACTGACGTTAACGTTAGCTTTTTACAAACGTTATTACACGAGATGTACACTGGGCATTCCGCCTACAAAATTATTTTACACCCATTGAGAAAAAAAATACACTTACAAAAAGCTTTAGAAAAAAATAGCGGAAAATTGGGCTCCGTTTGTTTTTCTTTTTCCTCTTTACATTTTATGCGGGAGCGGCGGTGTTGTCGGCTTGAAAATCCCCCACTGAAGTCGTCGAGCCTCGGTCTGCGCGAGAGACTGTCAGTTGGTCTACGTGTTCCAGTTCAGACGATGCTTGCCGTTGGTCTGCAGATTCCCCGACTCGCTGCTCGGTTTGACGGCTCCAAGTTGCGCGACTGGCCATTCATGTGTACCCGAATAACATCAGCAACTTATGTACATAATTTACAACGCACGACTCCAATGGCCTTCAGCAGGTTCTCGTGTGTACTGAGCGTGCTCTCTGCCTGCTCTCTCTCACTTGCCAAGGGGCTCGTCATCGTCCTCGATCAGAACAGACAGTTAGCTTACTCCACCGCGAGAGGGCAGTGGCGGTACATGTTTGCACCAACGGCTTCTTATGTGACTTTGATGATGCATTCACTTGTTCCTCGTAAGCTTCAGTCTCAGCACGGGGAGAGCCACCTAAACGCTGACAATACAAGCCTGTAAGCCTATAAACGAGTGATTGTTTATGAATGAATTTCACCGTGGCAGCAAACCTCAGAAATGCTTTTTTTCTGGGTTTTATTGCAGACAGACGAATTAGAAAAAGAGCACTGGGTATGGCATTAATCCAGTTTATCTAGCAGGAATGTGCTCTTTGAGTATTATTTTCTTTTTGAATGGCACTCTGAATGAAGCATGCCGGCCAACAAGGTCTCAGTTTAATTCGGCCTCAACTAGGTCTGCAACTAACGATTATTTTGTTTGGGCTATAAAATGTCAGAAAATGGTAAAAAATATATAAATAAAAAGTCAATGAGTGATTCTCAAAAGCCCAAGATGACAAATTAGAACGTTGGATTACAACATTACAGCACTTACTGTGGGTATATTTGAGAGATCAGGCAGATACGTGATTATATTAATCTAGACACTATAATAAATAAATAAATAAATAAATAAACCTTGCTGAATACTATGTATAGGCCTATGTGTGTAGGATTCAAATCTTGTACTGAAGCAAACATACACTGCTCAAAAAAATAAAGAGAACACTAAAATAACACATCCTAGATCTGAATTAATGAAATAATCTCATTAAATCCTCCTTTCTTTACATAGTTGAATGTACTGACAACAAAATCACACAAATTATTATCAATGGAAATCAAATTTATCAACCCATGGAGGTCTGGATTTGGAGTCACACTCAAAATCAAAGTGGAAAACCACACTACAGGCCGATCCAACTTTGAAGTAATGTCCTTAAAACAAGTCAAAATGAGGCTCAGTATTGTGTGTGGCCTCCACGTGCCTGTATGGCCTCCTTAGAACGACTGGGCATGCTCCTGATGAGGTGGCGGATGGTCTCCTGAGGGATCTCCTCCCAGACCTGGACTAAAGCATCTGCCAACTCCTGGACAGTCTGTGGTGCAACGTGGCGTTGGTGGATGGAGCGAGACATGATGTCCCAGATGTGCTCAATTGGATTCAGGTCTGGGGAACGGGCGGGCCGGTCCATAGCATCAATGCCTTCCTCTTGCAGGAACTGCTGACACACTCCAGCCACATGAGGTCTAGCATTGTCTTGCATTAGGAGGAACCCAGGGCCAACCGCACCAGCATATGGTCTCACAAGGGGTCTGAGGATCTCATCTCGGTACCTAATGGCAGTCAGGCTACCTCTGGCGAGCACATGGAGGGCTGTGCGGCCCCCCAAAGAAAAGCCACCCCACACCATTACTGACCCACCGCCAAACCGGTCATGCTGGAGGATGTTGCAGGCAGCAGAACGTTCTCCACGGCGTCTCCAAACTCTGTCACGTCTGTCACATGTGCTCAGTGTGAACCTGCTTTCATCTGTGAAGAGCACAGGGCGCCAGTGGCGAATTTGCCAATCTTGGTGTTCTTTGGCAAATGCCAAACGTCCTGCACGGTGTTGGGCTGTAAGCACAACCCCCACCTCATGGAGTCTATTTCTGACCGTTTGAGCAGACACATGCACATTTGTGGCCTACTGGAGGTCATTTTGCAGGGCTCTGGCAGTGCTCCTCCTGCTCCTCCTTGCACAAAGGCGGAGGTGGCGGTCCTGCTGCTGGGTTGTTGCCCTCCTACGGCCTCCTCCACGTCTCCTGATGTACTGGCCTGTCTCCTGGTAGCGCCTCCGTGCTCTGGACACTACGCTGACAGACACAGCAAACCTTCTTGCCACAGCTCGCATTGATGTGCTATCCTGGATGAGCTGCACTACCTGAGCCACTTGTGTGGGTTGTAGACTCCGTCTCATGCTACCACTCGGTAGCATGAGACGGAGCATGAGACGCCAGCATTCAAAAGTGACCAAAACATCAGCCAGGAAGCATAGGAACTGAGAAGTGGACTGTGGTCACCACCTGCAGAACCACTCCTTTATTGGGGGTGTCTTGCTAATTGCCTATAATTTCCACCTGTTGTCTACTCCATTTGCACAACAGCATGTGAAATTGATTGTCAATCAGTGTTGCTTCCTAAGTGGACAGTTTGATTTCACAGGAGTGTGATTGACTTGGAGTTACACTGTGTTGTTTAAGTGTTCCCTTTATTTTTTTTTAGCAGTGTAGTTCAGCAAGTTAAAGTCCTTTAAGTAGAAGTACAGAAGTATCATAAGAAAATTTACCTAAAGTATCAAAAGTTAAAGTCCTCAATGCAAAAAAGGAACTGTGTAAGTTTTACACTATAAAACTTACCTAGTTATATATATACTATGTATATTAGATTAGATTATTATTACTGATGCATTTATGCACAATCAACATTTCACTATTGTAGTCCAGGTGGAGCAAAAAACCTTACTTTGTGAAATGTGGGACAATTTGAAGTATAAAGTAGCATAAAATGTAAATACAACCAAGTAAAATACAGGTGCCTCAACATTTAAACATTTAACGAGTACAGTAGGCCTACTTTCCACCGCTGGTAAGCGTATATATACACTGTATAAAAATATAGGAATGTACATGTATTTCTGACCATATGTCCACTGTATATATTTTATATTTTTTTTTATTTCCCTTAGGCCCTATGTTTTTCTTATGAATCCATACAGCTATGAAAACAAATATCCCTCCTTGGCAGTAAAGGCTATTTATATATTTAATGACTTTTTATTCAATGCTTATAATGCACACAGAACTCAACTTTTGCTGCTGTTACACTTTAATTCCCAAGAGTGAAATTAAAAATGTGTATCTTAACTTAAAACCTTAACTATGACATAAATAAATAAGATTACATGTGTACAAGTCCAGATAATAATATCTGAACAATAAGCTACATCATTATTCTTTCTCAGTAACTGACAAGAGTGGTCATGGTCTCTGCCTCTGAACATAACATAACCCACAGTCACTAAAGTCATTTGAAAGTAGACAACTCGAAATCTCAATTTTATTAAAAACACTTGAAGGCCACATTCCACCTTTCAATAGAACAATAAAATTGATCGTTTTTGTCATTATTACGTTACAGGCTGCCGACTCCACGAGCTACACGATTTCCGCAAATAATATACACGACTTCCACATTCGGTGCGCAGTGTTTATCCCCACCGTATGCTTACTGAAGCAAATGCCTTGAGCAGAATGAACCGAATAACCCCGGTGAGACTTGGTCTTTTGTCGCCCTCTGGTGAATGTCTTCAAGAATTAGTCAGACATTTTTTTTTATTCATTAGCATAGTTTTCATAACATAAAGACATACTAAAATGCTTTGTAGAAATATCTTTACAGTTAGGATAACATAACATAATTCAGACAAAGTCAGCTAGAATGGACTTCTAACCATACAAAATATATTTTTTTATTTCTATGCATTTCCTACATGTTAGGCTTGCAAGATGCCTGATGGATATGCTCAACAAAACACCACCACACACAACCACACATTTAGGTTGAATCCTTATACAAAGTACTTGTAGAAGTACTAGTAGTAGTAGAAAGATGCTTGCAGGCCTGAGAACAACATCAGATTCATGGGCGGTGTTATTATGAATCTACAGTATGAATCCGTTGTGTTTTCTAATATAAATATTAAAATAAATAGGTTTATCAAAAGGAAAATGACTGAGGCCAAACTTGTCTAAAGAAATCTGTAAACAGTTGGTGGGTAATAACTGCAGTGCGTCAAGTTCGAAGGAAACAACAGCAGCTAACCCTAGCCATAATATCACTGAAATATATATGTATCACAGGATGAAAATATTTTAACGTATTTAAATTTAAAATCAGCATACAAACATGGTGATTGGTAGAACATTTTAACTACTAGTGCACCTCAAAAGTGTTTCCTATTCTGACGTACATTAGGTTTCCAAATTCTTGAAACCAGTTAGGTGGGTCTCCAAATGTTGTGTAAGTTTTAAACGCTTCATATTCCTGTTGCTCAAGCACCAAATATTGACACCTTACAGGCAGTGTTGCAGAGAGGAAATGCGTCCGTTTCCTTCAGCGGCTTTGGAAGACCATCTCCAGCTATATTCATTCACTTGTCGCTGTTAAACTTTGGTCATCAAACATTTAGCCTCTCAAGTGCCCCTTTTCCCCGAAACAAAAATGTTCCATGTTTCTATTACATCACCTCAAAAGGTGGCTCACTAAGATTAATGCACAAATCCTCTACAACAGCTTCCAGCTATTTTAAATATATGAAGTCCCAAGACAGTCTTTGCAGTCAGCTCATGCCTCTACCACCAGAGTGAAAATAAAATGTTATTTGTGGCCCAGATAGAGATGGTTTCAGCCATGTGGCAGTTCCCTGGTCATTTGGATCCACTGTGTACACTCCAGGTGTTGCTATACTTTATCTAAGAGTGTATTCAGGCAGAATTATCCCTCCAGGGGTGGCCGCAGAGGAATGCAGCCATCCATCTCCAGAGACTCGGGCCAGCCTTCATACTTGTTGCTGCTTTTACTGTTCTTCATACGCTAATGGGAACAACCAAGGGCAAACAGAACTGATGTCAACAAAACATACTGGCATCATCAGGTGAAGAGCAAATAAAGTTTACCAAAGCATACAATTTATAAGACTTATCATTTCTGACTTTCCTATAAGCACATGAATGCATCAAGTGTAGTGTTCAAAAAAAGCCCTTTTTTAACTACATATTATTTTGGAACTATAGACAGGTTTGGAAAATGGTCAGCAGAGCAGCCTGTTGCACCAGCTCTGTGTAAGTTCAAACGTAGCCTAGTTACAATTTAAATTATTTCTAAGTTGTGATTTATGCAACAAGGGCAACAAAGTGCCCCAGGGTTGGTGTAAATCATAAAATGTCAGAGTTATACTCACTAATTTTTCATTATCTATATTTATTTTGCACCACAGTAATCTATCAGAGACCTAATTTATTGATATGATAATTAAAGATCGATCTAGCTTACTACGATGTGCTATGTTTATGCTAGCTTACAACGATGTTTGCTCATGCCAGCCAGAAAGCTGCTGCGCACGCTACCATGATGATTAGTTTTAAGTTACGACTTCACATCTAAACTAGTTAAGTCATGCCCAAAGTAATCGTGGCGCAAACTATTTTAGTAGCTGATTTAGTTACAAACTATTAGTTACTAAGCCTCTAGTGCCGACTTTATGCTCCAACTTTGGAAAGTACTTACACAGCTGGTGTGACCGATGCAGGTCTCTAAGACACTTAAAGTGAATCCAAAAAGACATTTAGGCTTTTTGTGAGGGAGACTTGGAAAATATTGCAGGCTAAGCAAACATGTGTCATCTGGTAGGCATTGCTAGGGTCTCCACAGGATATCAGTGGCTCAGCTGGCAAATAGAAGCCTTACCAGTCATTATGCGTTGTCAGATTTAGGGGTGGAATGAATGTTCAATATGCCTATGTGTGATCTTCACTATTGTTCAATTGCAAATCATTAAATTGTATGCATTATAATATCATTGTAACTGTAAATAACAAATCTTGATAAAATTCTCTGGCGAGTCATTTTGTATTTTACCTTAGCTTATGTAAATCTAACATGCTTCTGTTCAGCATTAACATGTAACTGTAACACACCTGCTCAAAGGGACTCTTATTCTCGATGCCCTTGGCTCCAACAAACACCCAGCTGTCTCTAAAGGCCAGCTCCTTCACAGCCGTGCTCCCAAGCTCCTCAAACAGACGTCGAGACTCATCGTTCATCCTGTCACAGGAAAAGAGCACAAGTTAACATGTTAATGTTTATTAACATTGGGGTTGCAGTTCTGCTAAGCAAGAGGCTTGCGGGTTGATATAAGTGCTTAACCTCTGTTAAATTCAATTCTAATGAAATGCTGGCTATTACCATTTCTCAGTAAACTCCTCTTGGGCTTTAACAACGTCTCAATGGCAGTGTCTGGTTCAACTCTGAGGTTGAACCACTTTACATCCCTGATGTTTTTAGGGCCATGAGGCCTTTGAGGGTAACAGAGTGTGTATTTACCGAAAGTGAAACACGTTTTCCAATAACAAATGAACCAGCCACCAGATGTCACCAAAATATTGAAAATTGGTGCGTTCGAGATGACAGCGGTTGACTTTCGCCAACTTGATAGTGTAACGTTAGCTGCAGGTGACTGCAGGGGCGGGGTATAAAAACGGCGCCGTCAAGTTGGACAAATTCTACCTGCATCAGCTTACTGTGAGCTGAGATCAATGACTGATCTTGCGGCATTTGCAAAGAAAAATGCCACGAGACCAGGCAATAATGTGGTTTCAACATTAATATGCTAATTAACATACTAATATGGCGTTATTGACGATTAAAGATATTTGAATAAATAAAAATCAATAAATTCTCAGAAAAGTAGCATGTATAATGTTGAATTTGACTGTAACGTTGACAGCAGATTGGTTTATAAGACTTGTGAGCCCTGCTATTATTTAGCTATTAAAAATACTGTTTTCTGTAGCAATGCCACAGAATTATTTTACTCTACAAAATGTTTTCCAATTGATGACATAACCATCTGTGAAAACTTGCTTTGAGGTTCACCTAAGAGGAAAAGGGTAAGGTATTGGACTGGAACTAACAGCGCATAATGGATTCTTACTTTGTAGCAGCATCATCATAGGAAGCCACGAACACGAGTGTTCCTTCATGGAGCGGCCGGAGAAACTTCAACAGGTCAGAAATATCTGACAACAAACATCAGATGAACTATGAACTGTGGTTTACTTGTCAATGTCAAGCCATATGCACCAGATGTGAAATATATACTATACATTAGTGTCTGGTTTGTATTACCTCCTGCCCACATATCAAAGGTCTTAGTGGCCAAGAGCTCTCCTGTCACCCCTGGAGCAAAACACCAGATAACACAATTAACACAAGCTTAAATTATTAACACAACACAATTGGTTAAAAGATGGTGGATGACACTCTTACCATTGACCAAAGCTATGTTTAGTCCTCGGCCAACGTTGTTCTTCACGCTGCTCAGTAACCTGTGGGATAGAAACACGAGAGGTTGATGCACCAACTGAAGCACTTCCTTGCCTTGCACGTCGTCATTAAATCTACACTATTATACACATTACCTGGCACTTAAGAAACAAACAAAAACAAATATAAAAAGGACCAAGACTATAGACAAAACCAAAGAAATGGGGGACAGACAGACTGAAAGAATACTTGCATTCAGCTCCCCAGACAGACTTGGAGGCCTTGGAGGACAGCAAAGAGGGGAAAAAAAGAACAGAGTGTGAAACCAAAAAAAAGAAAAAAAAAAAAAAAAAAAAAAAAGAGGAAAGAGACAAAATGGGACACAAAGACATAAATGAACAGAAAGAAAGTGGTAAGCACTGAATCTCACATCTTGTCCTCCAGGCAGATTTTGGGCCCGATGACGTTGGCAGCACCAGACACCAGGCGGAACGCCAAATGTTTTGGGGGACAGGGTGCTGAAAGTCCACATTTATACTTTCGAGGGCGGGGTTCAACTAAAAACATATGATACATTAGTCAACGGTGATAAAGATGCAACACCATGATGATGATACTTGACAGGGAGTGTAGTCATAAAATGGTCATATCATGCAGATTCCTCTACTTACCAGGTGTTGGTTCCTCACTTGCACCTGAAAAAATATGTTTTAATAATAAGTTTTCACACTCAAATGAACTAAACTCATACCAGAAAGGCTTTCAAGAATAAACCAACACTTTACTTGTCTTTAGGGTTGCTACAAACAATTAAATCTTTATGAATTTGTCTACCTCTGCTTTCTGCAATGTCAGAAAATAGTGAAAAATGCTCATCACGGCTTCCTAAAGCCCATGGTGATGTTATTTAATAGATTGTTTTGCCTCACCAACAGTCATAAATCCCACAATATAACATTTCCAGTTATATAAAAAAGATAAACTTTCCAAATACTCACATTTAGCAGCTAGAACTATGTCCCATCAATCAACTAATCAATTCATCGTTCCAGAGCTACTTCTCTTACCGCTGAAGAAATGCCGCACAGATGGACCACCCTCCCCTCCAAAAAAGGTGTTGGCCAGCAGCCAGGTGAGCCCCACCAACAGCAGCACAGCCACAGCTCTCAGGGGACCTGTCAGGATGAAAAAGTGTCCATTCAGGCAAAAGATACAAGTGATTACAACAAGACCAACAAGTTCCCACTGGAATGTTTAAACAAAAAACAAATAAACAAACAAACAAACAAAAAAAAAAATATATATATATATATATATATATATTATATATATATATATATAAATAAGAGTTTGAACCAACCTGTTACCCTCATGATTCACCCTCTCATAGATCTGGACAGAAATAAAAAAAAAAAAGGAGCTAGATTAGTTTTAAATAGGACTGAACAATTTATGGAAATTGCAATATGGCCAAGTGCAATATCCAAATTGCAGGAGCTGCAGTTTTTGTCAAAAAAAGTCAAATGTGTCATAACATACCATTAAAAATGAAGAATTGTGGTGCTACAAATCATATTCTCCAGATAGGGAACATGATTGTTTGGTACAGACCCCGAGAAAAAAATCACATCATCATCATATGTATATACAATTCCCACTTCATACCATATCGCAATATCAAAATAATCGCATTTGGCATGTCGTTCAGCCTTAGTTTTAAACAGTTTAAATAAAAAAGATACAGTTTAAATATAATAAAAGGCATATTAAATTCTTTAAGGCCAGTTATAAAATTTTATTTTGTAGCTATAACGTTAATTCTTGTGTTTTGTAACGTTAAAGAGGAAAGGACTTAAAAAACGACTAGAGTGGGTTTTCTTTTACAAAAAACGGTATTTGTAAATCATAAATGTAAACATTAAAAGTACAGAATTTGTGACACAATTAATTTGTTGTTTAGTATGACATCTTAAACAGAAAGCCTTCAATGTGTTACAGAGGCCATGCAAGATGGCTCTTCAGGAGATGGCGTTTGAAGTGGTAACATGAACCCAAAGCATCGCAAACACTTGGCAACAAATTAGACATCATTTGACAACACAATTAATCTCTTGCATTTACGAAGAATAAAAAAATGAGGGATGTTACGTACTGTGTCCACGCTTTAGGCGAGTATTGTGGTTTCTTCTCACCTCTGCTAGGTTGTGGTGAACGTAAAGAAGTGCTGTTGCTCCTGCCACCCGGGACTATGACTATTTCTTGCGCTGTTTCCTCATTGAGGCTCTCCTGCAATAAATCAGTTTTCAGTGAGAAGGCAGGCTGAAGCCAGTATACTCAGCCGACCATTTACACAAGTGTCATTGTTCAGCTTCTACGAGCATGGGGGAAAATGCTGTATGGTTTATGGTTTGGGTTTATCCCCTCTGTCTTCCGGATAACCAACAGCCAACCCACAGCCCGTGACCACGTGACTGAGCAAAGAAGTTCACGTGACCACATTTTATTTCAGTATTTATTATCTACAATTGTTTATATTGTTGAACAGATAAGTAATAAATTACTTTCCCTCCACGCAAGCTACCACTCTATAAATAAATTAATAAATATTTCGATTATTTTGAAATTAATTGCTAACTATAGCGCAAGCGCACAACACGAATGTTTGGACTGTATATAAAAAGGTAAATCCACGGAAAATGTAGAACATGTAGTAACTTATTACATTTTAGGAAATATAGGGATGAAAGCATGAGACTAAATCAAAAGATAAGTCAGGCAGGAAGGAAGAAAGTGGAGCCTTGAAGGTTTATTAGGCACAACAGGAGATGAGGTAAAGGATACACAGAAAGCTGTTATACAATATCTGAATATATATCTGAATATAGGGATATATAATAGGATTTAGTGTTTGTTTTTATTATTTTGATGATATAGAGTAGTCCCAACCGTCCCAACGAACATAATTCATGCCACATGCTCCGGTACAGTAGGTGGCGATATGCACCTTTAAAAGTCATGGTTGCAATCTGCCTTAAAACAAAAAGAAGAAAAAGGCAACAAGCGCACACAGCACACCCTCTAGTGCTTAATAGTTAAGATGGCTTCCCACAGTGCTGTTCTCTCTGTGTCCAAACTCATTAATCCTTTTTGGGGCGGACGCCTTGGAAATACGGTTAAAGTAAGACAAGATACATTGCGTTTGCAATCGGTTGGGACTGTTGTTGTTTGACTCCATATTAAAGTCGTTTATTTTACCCGAGTACAAGGTCATGTCATGCAGTTAAAAAGCTAGCAGGCTTCTTAGGACCCTTCTTCCACATCTTTTCTGCAGCCCCGAGATTGATTTGGTTGCATTCACGTTTTGGTAATTTAATCCACTCACAAACACTCTCCAAACCGCCTCTCTTTTTTATTTCAGGTATTTGGAACAACTCTGACAAGCCACAGGAAAAAGGCCTTGCTTACTGTGAGTGAATCAGAATATCTCTGTGGGTTTCAATCTTGGTAGAGTGAGATGATGTCTCACTGGTGTGTATGTTTTTTCACTTTACCAATGAATGAGTATGTAAAATATTAGTGATGGCAAAAACTAATTCTACTCATTGACCTATTTCTTTCCAAGCTGTATGGATCTGGGTTAAACTTTGAGAGTGGCTGGTATCTGTTTTGATGTGACCTGGGAGTGCTAACGTAATCAGTTTTTCCACTCTGTTGGGAGAGGAGAGGTTATTATGACTCTGTACTACTTCCTGGATTCCTTTTTATGAAGCTGTCAAGCTGACTCTTGTTCTTCTCCTTTCCTCGCTGTCCATCTTCAACAACAGGGAGAAAACATTGTAAGTAGCCGACTCTGACGTGATTTATTACACTACAGTGCATCACTTCACGGGGGGGGAGACTTTAACAATAACCATGATTAAAAAACATGACGGCCATAACAAATGCTAAATAACAGTGACATATTCCCAGTCCTAAATAACACTATGAACTTTTTAGTATCTTGCATTACCCTCACGCCTTCTTGTTTCTTTGGGCTTGTGGAAATGTACTGGTGATTTTGCATTTTCTAACCCATTAATTATAGATTGTGTGCATTGTCATGATTTACCAAAGCATTCCAATTGTTTTTGCGGTAATTTCCTGCCTTCCAGGCTGCCATTATTTATTTTAAATTTCATTGTAGTATGAAAACTGACTTTTTACATATTTGAAATAGCAGGAAATGGCCAATTCTCCAGAGTGAACACTACTCCACATACCTTTGTGTTAAATTGCATTGTTCTTGAGTGGAATGTGGTGGCTAGCAGAGGACATTTTGAAATCTCTTTCGTGTTAAATGTTTGTTTGTTTTTGTTTTTTAATACAAAAAACTACAAAACTCACAATATCCTTATCAGGATGTCCATGTCGTATTTATCCTCTGGGTTTAAATTGCAAATGCAGCATAATCAAAATGTTATCGAATCTTTAAAAGTACCACAAACTGCTGGCAACTGCATTACCCTGTAACAAAAATAGAACTCGCAAAAATAAATACAAGAAACTAAATGTACACTGTATTAATATAAAAGTTTTAGGTTGGAAATCAATCTAAAAACATATGGCATCATTTGGTAACTCATGAGCAACAATGTATATAGGAGATTTGAAGTCAGGTTAAAATGGTAAAAGCCACCAGTGTTCTCCTTTTTAAGTTCAGTACCAGTTCATTTACATTTAAGGTATTGAGCAGATGCTTTTGTCCAAAGCAACTTACAGTAAGTACAGTTAATAATGTATAAAATGCCAACATTACAGCCCCCTCCTGCAAAGTATGGAGGCAGACACACAGTGACCCTCATACCTGGAGATGGAATTGGACCAGAGCTGCTTAGTCATGTCAGAGAGGTTTTCAGGTTGGTTACACGTAAACTACATCCTGTTCAGAGGAATGATTACAGACTGGTAAGGATTGCCTAACCATCCGGTTTGTATTAATGCTGTAGATATAGCTGTGTGCCGGTGGACTTTGAGGTGGTGCATGTCAACTCTGCTTTGGAGACTGAGGATGATATCAATAACGCCATCACTGCCATCCGCCGTAATGGAGTTGCCCTCAAAGGTAAGCAAACCCCTTTTTTTTTCTGTGTGCCAAGCAGAGTATGAAAACACAAAAAGCAGAGCAAAGCTATGAGAAGAGTGTCATTTATAAGAAGATCATGACACCAAAGTTTGACTGTGACATTACTTTACTCTCATCATAGGTAACATTGAAACCAAACATACCATGGCGCCATCTGTCAAATCCAGAAATAATCTCCTTCGGTAAGAGTTCATTGAAAAATTACATTTCATCCATAATTCGGTCTTTTTTGTCTTCTACTGTCCCTTGACTGTTTTTTCCTGACCTGTTCCGTGTTTATCAAAAGCACAAGCTTAGACCTGTATGCCAATGTGATGCACTGCCAGTCCCTCCCTGGAGTCCAGACTCGCCACAAGAACATTGACATCATGATCGTCAGGGAGAACACAGAGGGAGAGTACAGCAATCTGGAGCACGAGGTCAGACAAAACAGAAACACAATCAATTCTATTGTCTCCTGAAACACACACTTATACTCTCTCTTTTAAAGACCTCTTTTGCATCTGTCTTTCTTTCTGCCTACCTTCTTTTGAAATGGGAGTGATGTACTACCCATACATATGGTGGCCTGTAGGTTTCAGGCCTAATACAAAAGCCACAACACGATTACAAACGCCACAACACGATTACAAACGGCGCAACAAAATTGGAGTTTTGTAAAATTTACAAAAAAATTTACTGATTTGGCAGACACTGTTATGCGGGAAAAAGTCACCTGAAAAAGAATGTTCTTTCTACAATTCGAACCCGGACCTCCTGATTGTGGAACGGCTACACTGCCGCTGTACTACTGTGTAGCTGTGATTACTCTCCGCAGAGAGTAATCCACTGTTACTAAGCATCTCTTTCATTGTCAACTTCCATTGTGGTTCACTTCCGTTGTGGCTTTTGTGTTCGTGTTGATGCGTTTGTATTCGTGTTGTTTGCCCAAGCCTAAAATTAATGTTTTTCTGTGGACACACCTCTACTTACAGTTTAGAAGCGATGTGCAGTTACACCCTGCTTGTTACCTTTTTACACAGGAGGAGAATCTGTGTCAAGACTACGTGCTGTTATTAAGATTAACATCACCAACTAGTACTTTAACTTTAATTGTCATTTGTCATAATGTCATTTAAAAGTCATTCTCCTCCCTGTCTTCTTTTAGAGTGTATCAGGGGTAGTGGAGAGTCTCAAGATCATTACAAGGAACAATTCCCTCAGGGTTGCTGACTATGCCTTCCGACTGGCCAGGGAGAAAGGTCGTCGTAGGGTCACTGCTGTACACAAGGCCAACATCATGTGAGTTACTCAAGCCAAATGTATCTATCAACTAATCAATCAAGTTTTATTTAAAGTGCAAAATCACCAAATGACATTGTCCCAGAACACTTTACAAAATACACCTGAATAAAATTACAAAGGAGTATGATAAAACACAAGATCAGATCAGAATAAATTAATAATTGTAAGTTTTCTAAATTCTGCTCTAACTAAAAGCTTTATCAAATGGAAATGTCTTAAGTCTAGTATTAAAAGTATCATTCAAAAGCTGTCTGGCCTCCGGGAAGCTTTAAGCTGATGATACACAGAACAACTTTTAGAGCAATTGTGCAGGGCAACGTTGCCATCAATAGTAATGAGTAAAGATTACTACCGTAATCCCCTTCCCCCACCACTCCGCTACCTGCCCCGCACCGCCGCTATCCGTTCAAAACCTAGTCGGACTTGCCGCTAGCAAGATTGCCCAGAAACATTGCTCAAAAAGTTGCCCTGTATATCATCAGCTTTACATAATAATACTGCAACTTTTCTCTGTGCTGGAAATGTTGAGTGTAGCTTTTCTGCTCCAACAGGAAGCTCGGTGATGGCTTGTTCCTGCAGTGTTGCAGAGAAGTGGCCTCTGGTTACCCAGACATCACATTTGACAGCATGATCGTGGACAACACCACCATGCAGGTGACAGAAGAGGAAATGACACATCTGAGTTTGGAACCATTTCTAAATGTTGCCATATCGAAATGATTCACCCTGCCACCTTGTTTGTTTTGTGTTTTTAGCTGGTTTCCAAGCCCCAGCAGTTTGATGTGATGGTGATGCCCAACCTGTACGGGAACGTGGTGAGCAACGTGTGTGCAGGCCTGGTGGGAGGGCCTGGCCTCGTGCCCGGGGCTAATTACGGCCGGGACTATGCTGTCTTTGAAACGGTGAGTGTTTGGCTGTTCGTGGTAAGTAGGGCAATGTCCCGTCCGTTTTCTGAAATACAAAAAATCCATGAATCATATCTGTCTAATATGTTGTAACTCTGAGTTTTGTCTCTTTCTTGCCCTTTTTTCTTCTGGTTCTCTAAGGCCACAAGGAACACAGGGAAGAGTATTGCGGGCAGGAACATTGCTAACCCCACTGCAATGCTGCTAGCCAGCTGCATGATGCTGGACCACCTTAAGTATGTTTTCCATATTTAACCTTTCAGTACAAACCTTCCTTTGGATCCACCTGAGATGGATTGTTGTGACTGTAATGTATACCAGTAGTGTAAATTATTTCTCCGGTATGTCTCCAGGCTTCATGACTATGCAAGTTTGATCCGAAATGCAATCCTCACCACCATGAATGAAACCAGGGTAAGTCTTCCTTCACCTCTCACCTCGCTGCCATAAACCTAACAGGCCATTGTTGTGCGATGGAGGCTCAGAGGCCCTGGTGGCAGGTCTGGCATGCTTCCTAGTGGGCATCATGATACATTCACACAAAGCAGCATTGTGCCCTTTCAATGTCTCGAACATCTCATGAAGTGCTACAGTGTATGGTATCTGCTTTTTCATTGTGTGGCATCGGCCTTAATTACGGTCCTTGAGCTCATTTAAAAATCTGCTCATCATCCAAGGCTGCAGACTGGTTGCTTTGGCTGAATTTATGTGAGATGATGTGTAATGTGTATTTTATTTTTTTTCCAGTTGGAAACTGTTTGCATTAGGGGTGTAACGATACACCAAATCCACGGTTCGATTCATTTTGCAGAGAAACACAGAGAGAGATGTTATCTGGTATTATGTTAACGGACACGGGGGAAACGTTGCATTACGGAGCGACAGTGAAAACTGCAGATGTCACTCACTAAAGTTACTTTCGGTTATCGATCCGCATGCCACACACTTGAAAACTGAATCGCGGGTGAGTTTATTAAACACGGGCGACTTTATGAAACGTACTGCTGATGGAGAAAGTCAGACGAGACACATACAGGGAGAAAGCGACAGAAAGAGGCGGAGCAAGACGGCGTGTTTGCCCTGAGAGACCAGAGGTACAGGCTAGGTGTGTGTGTGAGAGAGTGTGGGGAGAAGGGGAGAGGAGCCGATTCAAGTAATAAAAACCACTAAAATAAGGTGGAAAATTACCTACAATAACCTACTTTCAATAAAAATAGATACACACCACTAAGAGCCTACCGGCTGCTGCTGCCACAGTTGCACTGTCTAATGAGAGCTCAACAGTCCAATGAGGCTGTGTCTCGGTTCTGTCTCTCGGATTCACGACACGAGACCATGGACTTTGGTGTCAAGGTTTCGGTCTCGGTTTCAGAACCGTTACAGCCCGAGTTTGCATACAAACACTCGGAGACAAATCCTAAAATCTAAAAAGTTTTTTTGTTTTTTCTTTTCTTGCAGTTGCACACAGCTGATATTGGCGGTCAGGGCACCACATCAGAGGTGGTCCAGTCCATCATGAGGATGATCCAGAGTAAAGGGAAGCTCACAACTGAGCTCTAAACACACTCATCAGAAGTGTGAGTTGGAACAGCTGTATCTGGTGACAGGTCCACAATGTGAGAGAGGAGGTCGATGCGTGTCTGTAGCATCCGGTCTTATCGCTGACATCAGAGTGGTTATTTTTTATTCTTCACGTGACTTATTGAGCAGTTGACTGTACAAGCGACCTTCACATACAATAATAATGGCCTTTACCAGGCATTTCCATTATCGCTACTATTAAATGATAAAGCCTACTGTAAGGAAAGGTTATGTTTCCTGAGTTGAGCAGGTTCATTCAAACATCTGTTCATGCAAATTGTTATGAAACATGAATAAGCATCTTTTGCAGTATGTTAATCCCTGAACAGATGTTGGGGTCAGAAATATTTTAAAATAGCCTTGTATGAACATGCGTTGCCCACTCTGCATTCATCAATGTGGATCACTTTATTTTAAGTTCCAACTGTATTAGAGCCTTTTCAATCAACCAAAATGTGCGATGTTTGTCTAGCTTTTTTTTTGTCATACTGTAAGGTTAATTGTCGCCTGTTACACACTGCACTGTACTATACTGTGTGTTCACATCAGATCAACTGTACTATAAAAAATGTGATATAGCTATTTCATATATACTGTATCATGAGAGGAGGTGTACATCAAGTAACTGCTGTCGAAGCTGAAGTTTTACGCTTGTGCCATAATAATGGTTTCACCTAAAGTTTGGATCACATCACAAAAATATACTGTTGTCTCTAATCAGACAAGAGCTCTTAAAGCCTAATATGAAAAGACTGGGGTTTATCATATTTGTGGATGGGAATATAGAAATACTGTATAACAAAAATATTATCAATAAAGAAATAATCCACCCTTAAGTGACCTTTTTTTTTTTGAATATGAAACGCCTTTCAAATGAGTTTTAAAGCTAAAGTAAATAGATTTTCAAAGTGTATATACACTCAGTTGCCAGTTTATTAGGTGCACTAATGCAGCAGTCCTAATATTCCTTCTTGAAGGTTAAAATGTTGAGTTGATTGAACTATTTTTAGAGAGGTTTTTATTCACTGTTTCTATTATTTCATCTACTTCATTTACATTAATGAGGCTAGGGCAAACACCCAACAAACACCCCTGTATTATGTTGTGCAGTTGATCAGCACTGTGATCTACATCCTCCAAAACCGCTCTCTAAAATATTACAACCTTCATGAAGGTGGGATTTATTGCAGGACTGTGGTATTAAACAGCATTATTTTGTTGTACCTAATAAACTGGCAACTGAGTGTATATATGGTTTAAAAAAATAGGACGTTTATACTGCTAAGCTCAGTTAAGATTTATCTTTTTTCTTTGCCTCTGCTTCAGAGAAAGTAGCTCTGGCCTCCTGGTTCTAAAGATTATTTTGCTCCAATTAAGATAAAGCTCACTGATCCTTCCGTTTGTTTTACAATTTCACGCTCCGTCAGTGTCTTTCTTACAACATTGGATGACATGTTGCTGTTTTTTTCACATTTCATCACTAGGTGGCAACAGCACTTTTCCAGGGTTGCCGCTAAAGTTGAACTTGGAGCAAGATGTGCTCAACTGTATGCATGTGCGCTCCATTACATAGTCTTACATCGTTTGACAAGGACAAAGGCAGAATATATGTCATCACTGTATGCTGTATGTTACTACTGTGTGAAAAGGCTGCAGGGAAAATGGGATGCAAGAGTCTCTGGCAGGTGGACTGTTCCACATAATTGGGAACACTTGGGAATAATTGTTCTTTTCATGTGTTTTCTAGGAATCAGGCTCTTGGCTTCGGTGTATGTGTTTCTAAGACAAACATGAAGGATTGTGGCTTTACTCACTGTTGAAAATATCTTTTCAGCTTAGTTTCATTTAGTTTTTTAAAATAAAATACTCTACCACACAGTCATGTTAAGAAAAACTGCCCTGCTTGTTTGAGCGAGCAGATGAAGGAGGATCAGATAGATGTTTTAGTGGAGCATCATTCAGCAGTGACTTCCTGCTTACATGTACTGTACAAATAATCCCAGTCTGCCTTTCTTTCTCTGTCAGGGCCTGCGGTCACAGGGGCACCTCCCATTGTGATGGCACCGGACAATTTATTTATCATGTGTCCAACTCTGGGAAGGTTACACACTGTTCCATCTGCATATTTAGCAAAGGAATCCTTGATGAGGCATCTTCCTTTTGTTAGATGGAGTCGTCCTCTGAAATAAGCGATCATGCGTAATCATACGGTGTACAGTGCGTGAAATGTGCAAGGAATCAGTACATGCGTGCCTTGGCCTCTGCCAGTTGGCTGTTTTTAACTGGTTTACTCCCTCTCCATTCATGTCAGTTATTTGCCCTGTGGAAACAGCGAGTTGGCTCTTAAATGCCGTCGCTTTTCCCCCCCATTTAGAATCAGTCTTCATTTTTTTTGCTGTACTTTGTGTAAGCGCCTCCTCACTCTGGGCCAGCTTTTTCTCATCATCATATTCCACTCGGGCTGTTTACCTCACTGTACCTCACATAATTTCTCATCACTGTCCATGGAGCTACTCACTCTCTCCTATGTCACCCCTCACCTCTTTGTCTCCCTCTCCGTCTCCCTCTTCCTCCCCCCCCCCGAGCTGCTCTGTCCCCCCCTCTGAGCCTCCACTGGAGCCGGGCCATGAGGCAGATGGTCGGAGAGAGAGATGTTGCAACAAACCAACAGCCACTTGACCTTTACGAGCCACCATTCAGTTCTTGTATAAACATGTGAAACGGACCAACTTGCTGTGAAGTCTTTTGACGCGATAGCTGCCTTTCAAGGGTTGGCTTATCCAAATTGCAAAATGAAAAAAAAAAAAAAAAGATACAGCCTTCCAGATCGTTGTAGTTTTATGTGCCCAGTTTTATAGATAGCCTATCTATCTCTGAGATGTGTTCTGGCTTCCTAATACAAGTAAGGTATGTGACATTTCTTTTTTAGTGCTCACAGCATTGGAAAAGCACATTTGGAAAATTTAACGCCAGTAGTCTGGATAATCCAGAGATCTTAAAATAGTCTGTATGAAAACTGTTCACAGCATATTGTGATTAGAGTAATGGGGGACTTCGTCTCAGAGAAAAAGATGTTACTATTCTTTGATAATGTGTGCACCACGAACACCATTTTATTCACCTCCATTGTATTGGGGTGGAGGCTGGCTGACACACAGAAAGATAACTTTCCCACACAAATTAAACCAAAACTATCAGCATGGCGTGTGTGTGTGTGCTTTAAATGTTCCACATGCTCTGGTCGTCCCTGCTGTGTGGTTTCTAGACAATAGGGAATGAGCGCACTTGACAGCCCAGGCTGATGAAGGGATATTCTGTTTTGATATTTTATGTAGTTAGTAGACATTTCTCATACCACGTCCACTCATACAGATGTGTTTTATCTTTTTAACGCTCACTAAACTTGGAGCTGCTGGCTGATTTACCAGCTTAGATGTCTTTTTTAGCTTTGCTCCCTCTCCAGCATCTGCACCCTGTTTCTCCTTCATTCCTCCCTGTCTCATGTATTTTTCATCCGCCTTCCTACATGATAAATGCTTATCTGAACAGTTGAGTCAAACCACTAGATATGAGACTGTTATTAAAACATGTGGTTTTATTATTGGCCATAATTCTGCCCTGGCTAGCTCCTGATCGTATCCAGAGTCCTCCCCTTCTCATTATTTCTGTCTGTCACTTTTACACACAAACACTATTTTAGTCAAAAAAAAGACACTATTTTAGTCCAGTGTAATCCTAGATCCAATGGGATATTTCCACTTCATATGATCATGCCCCGTCTTCTCATGTTGATCACCTCTGCTACCCTGCGCACTGCATTGCAGGTGATTGCAATCAATCAACATGCCTCTGATCAGGCTCTGCCGAGCACAGCTGTATCCAGTCAACCAGCACTGCTCTCTGTTAATGGGGCTTTTTCCCCACACAGCTATGGCTCAGCTACATTAAGCTACGTCAGCGGTCAGCTATTCTCCACCACTTGGGCCTGGCTGGGTATAGAAAGCAGGTCAAGGAGGACGGCATGCAGAGGAATGGAAGGGGGAGAGTGTGGACATAGCTGGACGACAAGAGGGAGAGTCGGAGTAATGGGCTAATTGAGTGTGGGGAGGATGGTATCGTTTTGGTTGGCAGTGAGCGGGAAGATGAAGTATGGCTGATTTAGTTTGATAACCAGGGAGTTCCCTGGGCAGTTAGCAGTTCAAACACTTCATCACCCCCTTATCTTTCAAAATGAAAGGAGCCCATAAAGTATCTGACTCCTGTCTGCCTCTTTATCAGGAGCTGCACTGTTATTTCTTTTTACAAGGGTGGTTTTAACACAAGAGGGTTACTACCCAGTGACACCATAGTATGCTTATCATCGCAGCTCTGCTAAAAGTGAAGTTATCCCCATCAAGTTTTATTTTTCCTTTTTCTTTGCTTGCTCCTATTTGAGGATGGACTGCTAGTTCACCTGCAGAGTATGCATCCCTTCAACTGCTAGGGTTGCGTTACCTTGCATAAGGACACTCCAAAGAGCTTGTGCAGGCCAACATGATGCATGAGCCTTGGTCATACAGTTATATAGCACACACGCGTTTGTTTTATGTGACTCCAGCATTTATCTTGTGCCTTGTAAAAGAAAAGTGTACGTCCGTAGTGAGTTTTATTGTATCCTCAGGGGAAGCTCCAACCAGGCATAGCTGTGTGTTTGTTTGTGTGCATACTTGTGTGTATATGATTATATACATGCATGCATATGTTTTATATATGTGTGCACATCTGCATATGCTTTTTACTGGGGCCAGGTTCTTAGCTCCAGGCAGTGAAACTGATTCCACCTGTGCTACACGACCTACAAGCACTTTACATGGCCCTGCCCTTTACATTTGCCCTGGTATTCTGCCCTGTCAGAGGTCCACTGTGGTTAAATGTTGGATGCGTCTGGGCTGCTTTATTGCATTGTGTCTAAATAGGAACCTGCCTGTCTCACTGACTTTTCCTTAACCCCCCCCCCCTTCTCCATGGCACTGAAAGCCTCTTGGCAGAGTTAGTGCGAGGGGAGCCTGTGCGCTATTTCTGTTTCGTTTTATGTTCGTGACAAATTAGTGTGCATGTATTGCTGGCTGGTTCTTCTGAAAACGTTGATATGTTGTCTCTCACCAGAGAGAAACAGGCCATTTGTATACTAGAAAGAAAAGAAGGGAGGAGAAGTAAAAGCAGAGATTGGGCTTTTTGCTCCATCTAAAACCATTCTTCCACTCCTGCAATTTATTTCTTATTTTCTCCCTCTTTTCAGTTTCTCCTCCTCTTTTGAGCTCTATCCGTAATGTTATGAAACTTTTTACTGTCTGTGTCCTTGCTGTGAGTTCAGTTGGCACTGCCAGAGTTTCATTACATCAAGGCAAGCATGCTGCACTCATGACAACCTGCATTACACTGCTCTGATGTCATCACAACTCTGCTCCCCTGAAATATGAGCTTATTGGCATTTTGACAACTTGGAAACACCCCCACTTTCCAGCCCAGTGTTCACCAGTTTAAAAACAGTGTGTTCTCTTGGTTGCTAAAACAAAGCATATTTCCCAGTTACTCTCCTATTGTTTGATCAAATAAATCTCTTGAGTCCCGCAACTCTGTGCGGAGTGAGTGATAATCTCCTTCACCTGGCCGGGATCATCTTCCACCTGTTGCCACACACACGCTATAAAGAGAGAAAATATGTCATTCTAAAAGGCGTGCAGACCCTCTGAAATGTGACATTTAAATGTTATCCAAATCCCTTTTAAGAGTTGCTGTTTCTCTTGCGTCTCTCCCTTTGTTCTGTCCATATAATCTGGCACTATTTCCTGATTTC